TCATTTCCTTTTTATTTCAAGTCTTCCTGTTCTGGACTTAGGTTTACAGCAGAATTGTGGCACCTTTGTTATGCTAATCCTGTTAGTGTTTTTTTTTTCCTTAACTGTCATATCCAGCTTTTGAATTATTTAAGCAGCAATGTTTTAGTGTTTCAGGTTTATTTTAAGCTTTATAGTAATTATTTTCTTTATTGATCAATTATTATACCATAACCTACTAAGGAAAATATATTAAATGTGTACATTAAGTGAAAGGGGGAAAACTGTCCTGTATTAATTTCATTTTAGAATAAACCCCTCTTACAAATACAAGTAGAAGCATTATCAGTTTTGCAGAAAGCCGTTTTATAGGATGGTTCAAATCTCGTCTATTGTAAGTTTTGGCAGCAGCCTTGGGGAAAGAACACAATCATGTCTCACACCTTTTCTCTCAAGTGATGTCATTGATCGCCAGGGTTTATCGGGTGATTTACCTAGAACAGTCTCCACCAAACAACAAGGAAGTTGTACAAGTCCTCCCACAGCATTTCTGGTGTTCTTCTCATCCGATTTGAGTAAACATTTAATGGTAGTTCTCATCTGTCCTTATATTCAATGTGATCCCGTGACTTTGCTCCTGAGAAAAACTTGGTAACTATAAAATATTTCTGTCTTAGGAGTCTCTCAGCTAACTATTGAGATATTAAGATATAAACTGTCTTGCCCCTCGAATTCAAAGCTGGTCTTTTACTGTAGATGAACTAAAACTGAAGCTTGGTGCTTTTTCTTTCTATTCTTTTTAGGGGGCGGGGCTATCCCATGTAGCTCAGACGGCCCCAGACTCAGTAGAAAGCTAGCAGTCTTGAACTCCTGAGCCTTCTGTCTTAGGATTACAGACATGTACCAACATGGCAATTTTTAAAGGTATCAATACTGAACCACTGTGCAATACAGTTAATATGTATAGAATGTGGTTCAGTTTTAAGTATACAGTTTTGACATTAGCATTTATTTATATAATGCCTACATATGAAGCTTATAGAAGGGTTTTATTGTTACTATTTTTTTTCTCTTTGGTGTGTGGGTCCATGTGGATCAGTTGCTCTCCCTATGTTGGGGACAGGCCCACTGACTGTTTGGCTAGACTAGCTGACAGATAGCTCCAGGGGTGGTCTGTGTCTGCTCCCACAGTCTTCCCACAGCACCGAGGCTGCGTTTGGGTGAGTGCTGGCGATTCAGGCTCTCAGGCACCTCAGCCCTCATACAAGTTTTGAACATCCCAGTTTTCAGGAGTAGCATGAAAAAGAGACAACCGTGGCAGGAAACACAATAATCACTTTATCACCTATCCAGAAATTTTCAGTGGTTTTTGAATGCTGAATTTTGTGTAGCTATCTTTTACATTAAGCTTTCTGGGATTGTAAGTAAGCCATATCATACCACATTTTTTTTCTATTCATACACACACACACACACACACATATATATTTATATTACATTTACTTACTTCCTCTCACTATGTGTCTTCTAGGGAAAACAACATACCTCTTTGTTGGGGTAGTCTAAGATAGGAGGCTTACTAATGTTTTTGAAAAGTGTGTTATCACTCCTTTGATATTTATTTTTTCCTCCAATTTCCTTTCTGCTTAGAATAGATAACTTCTCATAAAAACATGTGTGACCTGGTAGTGCAGCCTACAGTTAAAAAGATTTTAGGAGTGGGATGACGGCTCATTAATAAAGTGCTTGCAGTCCTAGCAGCAGGGAGGCGGGGGCAGGAATCCCTGGGTTTGGTGGGCTCCACTCAAAGGAGAGACCTTGCTGAAAAAGAGACGGACAGCATTCCTAAGGATGATGCCCAGGACCCTACACACATAAAATGCTTCTTAAAGTTCATCATTTTTTTATAGTCTAAAGAAAAAAAGTTATTTTTCTTTCTCTTTTCAGCACTTTCCTTTGCAATGGGAGCTCTTCTTGTGTGTGTTTCCATATATCTCTATGGCTTACCCAGACAAGACACTACATCTATTCAACAAGAAGCAACTGCAAAAGAAAGGATCATTGGTGTGTGATTTGAATCTTAACTGACCTATAACGACTTAACTGTTGATAAAAAATTAGAGCCTTAAGTCAACCCCAGATGGTAGCTTAAACAGTATCAATGGATTAACTATATGACATAAGAATCAAGAAGGAAACTGAATGAGTGAAGTGCTAAAACAGATTTAATTTGAGTATGTTTGGTGTCAAGTTATATTACTTCAGAATGAAGGACTTTACTACAAAGTGTGTGTGAGAGAGAGCGTGCGTGTGTGTATGTATGTATATTGTGTACAGGGAGCATTCAGTTGACATGGTATCAGGACTACATGCGTGTGTCTCATGTACACAGAGCAGAGGTGACAATACAGGGTCAGAACATCAGGTGAAACTACAACATTCAGTAGACAAGGTTGAGACGGTGTCTGAAGGTTCAAGTGCCAAAGCCACTTCTGTACACACTGTTCTCTTGTTCAGGTACCGGGAGAGGAGGGTGAACCTTCCTGGTCTAGATCATGGATAGTACTTTTGTAGCAGTAAAAAGTCTGGCTTCTCTTATCAAAGTGAAGAATGAATAAGATAAGACAGTTGAGAACAAAACTCAGTGTGTAAACAGAATCTGCTTCATAGCTCAGACACTGACTTCTGTCTGGGAACTTCAGTGCTGTATTTGTGCCAGTCACTGTCTGGTTCATATTTCTTTGCTGTTAGCTGATATACTTTTCAGAAAATTTTCTAAGTCGCTTTTATACTTTCTTTTTTTATAATGTATGGTTACCTGTTGGGCTCTGAATTTGTGAACTTTCAGTGATTTCAGTGATTTTAAAATATTTCTATAATGTTAATGGGGAAATCCAGCAATAAATTTATTTATATCACTTTTGTGTAGTCACTTTGTTTTATGATACGATCACTATGATAATGCAAAAACATGGCTTTTTTTCTACGTATGAAAATTTAACAAAGTAATCTAATTCTTACAAACCTTGAGCAAAAAAGAATTTCTAGGGAGGATTACAGCATAGTAAGTCTTTTCAAAGAACTGTATTTTTGAAGACTTAATCCCTGTATAATTTTGCTCAAGACTGAAATAGTGGTCTGAGGAGTTTCTCCAAAGAAGTGGAGAGAAAGAGTAGATATGTAAAACATGCCCCAAGTGTACATGTTCATCCCACAGCGGGTTTGCTGTAGGAAGGTCAGTGCTACTCTAAGTAGAAAACTAGCAAATCACTTACAACTGTGACCACATAACATTTAGATTAAATGTGGAAGGCCAAATAGAAATGCTGGCAGAAGATGGTGATGGTTCTCAAACAGCACATCGTACTTACTGTTAGCTAAATTAAACCCATATCACTGAATCAAGTCAAACTACCTTGTCTGTATGCAGATACATGGAAGCCAAAACTCCACCTCAAATTATGCTTTAATACTGGCCCACACTTGACAAAAACCTGAATTCAGTGTTCTGTAGCTGCTTGCTATTTAGATGCGTATGTCCCTGACTTCACAGTTTGTTACTGTATATTCCAGCTAACGGTAAGCCCGAGGCCAGTTCTCACTGCTGTCTGCCAACGCTTACTTTACATCTCCCTGTATTTGGTCCAGGAACTAGCTACTGTTAAAATAAAATCGGCAACCAACCTTCACCAATTATTAGATGAAAACAGGAGGTAATCTCAGTTATAAGAATAATTTCTACAAGCCCCCATGAGTCCCAGTCAGTTGATTCTATGGGCCATGTTGGAGCCTGTAGGGGTCTGACCTAGGTCCTCTGCACATTTCTTGTGGGACTCCTAACAGTGGGAGTCCTCTGACTCTTTCTGCCTGCTTGTGGGACCCCTTTCCTCCTACTTGGTTGCCTTGTGCAGCCATGATGTGATGGTTTGTGCCTAGCCTTACTGTAGCATGTATTTGGTTGATGTCCCTGGGTGGATCTGGGGAATCTGGGAGGTGGGAGACAGAAGCTGGAGAGAGTGGAAGTGAGAGAGGGCACACTGCAGTTGGGATGTGTATATGTGAAAAATAAAATAATTTTTTTTCCTATTAATCCCAGCACTCAAAAGGCATATCTCTGAGTTCAGGTCAGCCTGGTTTACATAGTGAGTTCCAGGCCAGCTGGGGCTACACAGACCTTGTCTCATATTGACTAAAAAAAGAAAAAAAAAAAGATTTCTGGGGCCAGCAAGTTGTTTCAATGCTTATGAGTAAAAGCCTGACACCCTAAGTTTGGGACTTGGAACCCACCATAGAAGGAGAGAACCAACTTCCAGAAGCTGTGCTCTGACTTTCAAGTGAACACCCCCCTCCCTCCTCCCCCACCAAGAAGAAGCTGAAAAGAAGTTCTTGTTGGAGTCTAAATGTGCAGGCCTGTAACCCTAGCTGAGCGAAGCCAGTAGGATCACAGATTCAAGGCCTGGCTAGGTTATAAATTCAAAGTCCACATGGGCAATTTACATGACATTCTAATTCAGTATAAAAAAATAAAAAGAAGGGTAGGTATCCTTGCCTAGTGCACACAAAGTTTCAGGCTCAGTCTCTAGCAACATAAACAATCTAAATATTATAATATATGTGCATATACATGCACACACATAACATACGCACATACTTGTATTTGAGAAAAATGACTGCAGGCCAGAATTTAAATGTTAGTCTTTTGCCCCAATTATATCACAAGGTTTGAAATTTAAAAGACTCAACTCAGTTTCTTACATGTTTGAATACCTACTGATCATGAGTGAAATACACATATTTTTTTTAAGAGTAAAGATTAAATAAGTTAATGTTACTATATAAAAATATATATTCTGATCAGGTGGTAGCAGTGGCGCATGCCTTTAATCCCAGCATTCGGGAAACACGAGACAAGTAGATATCTGTGAGTTTGAAGCTAGCCTCAGAGAAACCCTGTCTGGAAACAACCCCACCCCCTAAAAAAAAAACATACATACATATATACACACACACATATATACATATATATATATATAAATTTTGGCACAGAACAATAAATTCTATTCCGAACAGCAAGGCATCTTATAACTAGAACTTATTTGGCATTAAAAACCACACTTTAATTAGAAATTACATATTACATTCTACATACAGGTGTAATTCCAAGAAGTTTCATCCCATTGGCGAGGACAGAACGAACAGCTTTGAAAAGATGAAGCCTAGCCTACAAAATAAAAAATGATTAAATGTTCAAGATTATGTTAGCAATAAGCAAATAAAGAGTGGTTTTAGAAGTTATTCTAGGGGCTGGAGAGATGGCTCAGTGGTTAAGAGCATTGCCTGTTCTTCCAGCGGTCCTGAGTTCAATTCCCAGCAACCACATGGTGGCTCACAACCATCTGTAATGAGGTCTGGTGCCCTCTTCTTGCCTGCAGGCATACAAGCAGACAGAACAATGTATATATAATAAATAAATAAATAAAAAGAAGTTATTCTAATTTAAGGAAGGAATTTTGTATGATAGTCCTTTGCATACTCCAGGCAAGGAAACAGATTCTAGCTTCCAGTGGAGTGGCAGAAACTGTCACTTGGACTCCTGACAGAAGAAGACACCATTGGTAGTCTACTATTTTGGGAAATACTTAAACAGATTATTATGGCCCAATTCTATTTATTACCCAAGTCACAAAGTATACTGCTATATTTAATCAACAAGATATTTCAGGAATCTTCCTAAGACTTTTAGTGATAACATTTTATAATGTTAAGTTCAGTCAAAGTAACATACCCCAGCCACATCAGGAGGACTGTCTTTCACCTGGAGTGTTTTATGCGCCATAGCTGCAAGGTGACTGAAACAAGAGAAAAGTCAAAGTGAGGACGAGTAGGAACTTCCTGTCCACGAGTCCCATACCTAAGCCAACACTTTACTTGAAGGAAAAGCCTAGAATCACTAAAATCTGAAGTAAATGTAGTTGCTTGCCTGTGATAAAGTAAACACTGAACTCAAGCTTTAGACTTTAGTCCTGCTTCTACTAAATGACAAATTTTAAAAATTTTGATTTGACTATTTTAAAGAAATAGGACTTGCCTTTCTAACAAGTAATACTTCCTTATGTAGATAACTTTTTAAAGTATAACATGGTGTAGACCTTCCCTTGTGCCAGAGGGGGCTGGACAGGCACTAGTTATTACTGCGCTGCACACATACACTGGACACTCCTTGAAGTCCTTTCTCAGTTAAGGTATGGCAGCAATGGCCATGAAGTGCACATGATCATCAATTATTTTATGTGACATTTCACTAGACTTTCTGGCTTTGCCTTTATATGTAAGTAGGAAAACAATAACAACAACAACCACTTATTTAAATCTGAGGAGCCAGGGGTAGGACTGTAATACTTAGGGAACAAAAGCAGGAGGATTAGGAGTCCCAGGTTAGCCTGGGCTACACAAGTGAAACCCTTTCTCAAATGAGAAGCCCTCTCTGATTCCCTCAAAGCTGGGCTGGATGAACATCTCATATGTCCAGTTTTGGCAAAACACATGTCACTGTTATAATGACCCTTGCCATTGTCAATTCCTATGATTCTACCTTATATCACTAAATAAATACAATAAAATCTAATTGTCAGGAAAGATGTAACAGTTCCTAATAACTTATAGGAAAAAGCGATTTTTTAGGGCAAGGGAATTACTTATAAGAAACTTTTAGACGAAGGAGAAAATAGACGGGCTGGAGGGATGGCTCAGCAGTTAAGACTACATGCTGCTCTTCCAGAGGACCCTGTACCCACGTCAGGTAGATCACAATTGCTTCTAAAGCCAGCTTCAGAGGACCTGATGGCCCCTGAAGGCACCAAACACATATGGTGGTGCCACTTTATGAAACCAGCTCTTACATTCAAAGAAGCTAAATTCTGGCTGGACTTCATAGCTGAGTTAACACACCTAGAGGTCACTGAAAGCCTAGGTGGATGCCCAGGTGTGGATTTAGCCCGTGTAACCATCCTTTAAGAGCACAATTTCATAATCAACCTCACTTGTAGTGACTGCCCATGTGATTACTTTTACAACCTAAGCCAATGTAAGTTATGCATTCTTTATGTCCCTGACCCAGAGAGCAATGTACATGTATTTGAAAACAGTTATGGCAAAAGTAGCCTCATAAATTATCTGCCATAAATCTGAAAAGAGCATATGGATATTGTTTGTGACGGTATGTTCACGTGATGTTTGCTGTTCTGAGTGCTTCTGGGTCAGCTGGTGTCAGTAAAGTTTCCTCCTGTGTAAATAAAACTGTGAAAGGTGTCTTGGTGTCTCTTATTTCTTCTATTCAGTAGAGGGACAGACAAGACCGCATCGTACAGAGGCCAGTGACTCAGAAGCTACAGACAGATGACATGGGAAGAATAGAAGTTCTGCCTCACTCTGGTTAAGCCACTCTAAGAGGAAGCGCTTTGATTCCTTTCTTCAATGTAGCACCTACGCGTACTGGTGACCGAGTTTATCATAAATTTAAACTAGCATGCATGCCTGTGAGTACACACACACACACACACACACACGAATAAAAATAAGTCTTAAGATTTTGAAAAGAAAAAAGGGAGATTAAGAAAAATTACCTTAGCGTTAAAAGGTAGCCAACAATGTGCTTAGGTTGCAGGTCCTGAGATGATTTATAAAGTACTTCATCGAACCTAAAAGACGACAGGAACAGACTTCATTTGTTATATGAAGCTAACACATTAACATGTTAAACACTTTGGACGTTAAGGAGGCATATGAGAAAGGACCTGGGTACATCTGATCACTAATGTGCATTTTTCTTTCATATAAATTCCTTGATAGCAGAGACATTCTAAATCATCTTTGTATCTCTTAGATCTAGTCCTGCGCAAAAAGAGAAAAAGAAAAACCTTGCCTAACTATTAAGGCAGTGAGCTCTGGTCTCAGGGCTGAGGGAATCAGGAGGGCTTATTTTCTCTCACATTATAAGTTATGTGGTAGTAAATTTCGCTATCTGAACAAAGATCTGCCGAGCACTGTATGACAACTGAAGAAAGCTGCCTTCGTAGACACACTGCTCTGTGTTCTCTGACCTCGTGGAGTCAAGGTGTGGTCTGCCTGTGTGGCAGAACTAGGCAGACAAATGCACTGGAGATTGGGAACTGAAGCCACGAGGCAAATTGGAGGATTCACGGTGTCCGGACAACTGCACAGAGACTGGGCTTTTCCTTCCCCCGTCATAACAGCCTCAGAGGATGCTCTTATCCAAAGACCATGCTCTTCCCAGGCTTTACCTTCCTGGACCATGGCCTTAGATCGTGCACTACTACTTCGTGGCATTATATTTTGTGATAATATTTTTAAGGCTAGGATTGACCTTGAACATTGGCTTAAACGGTGATCCCAGTCTGTTCTGAAAAGGCAGACTCCTTTTGGGCCCTCCTAAGTCTGTCTAGAGGAAGAAGGCAATCTCTGAACCAATGATTCTAGAAGTCAGCAAAAAATGTTCTCAATTTAGTTAAGAGTATCAGACGTGGAAAAAAAAACAGAAAACCTCATACCTGAGAAGATGCTGGAGAATTGAAACAGACTGTGGCTCTTGTAAACAAGCAACGTTGACGTCATTTAGGTAACCACATCCAAAGGTCTCTTCCAAACTGTCACCAAGAGTTTAAACAAGTGTGAAAGGGTCAGTGTTTGAGGGTCCATAACTACATGTGATGAAATATTAGCTTTGGGTATACATTCTGTTTTTTTAATTAAACATTCATTTCTTCTCATTTTGTGTGCATTGGTGTTTTGCCCGTATGCATGTCTGTGTGAGGGTGTCGGATCCTCTGGAGATGGAGTTACAAAACAGTTGTTAGTTGTCATGTGGGTGCTGAGAATTGAACCCAAATCCTATGGGACAGCAGCCAGTGGTCTTAACCGCTGAGTCATCTCTCCAGCCCCTGGGTATACATTCTTGATCTCCCTAATATATAACCCTTGACTTTGACACTGACACTGATTTAAATCCTCATTTTTCTCAAAGTATTTTCAGTGTCTCTTACACTGTAGGTGACAGGATTTTCTCTGGCAGAATTACTCTGAGGATGAAATAAGGCAATAATTAAAAGTGTTTCTTATAGTAGGTGACTGATAAGTGCTTAGCAATAAGAGGCCTGCTGTGTTTTACCCAGAATTGAATAAAGAAGTTTTGGAAAAGTCCAGAAAACAGGACCAACCACCGATCTGAGAAGCACACCAAGCAGGCTCCAGCCCAGGGAAGGAGAGCCAAGCTTCCCTGAAGCCTCTTCTCACCTATGGAGGCGGGCGTGGGTATATTGTAGGAAGACTCCAGTGTCCCCACGACTCTGGAAGACGCGATCCCAACTGAACTGATAGTCAGATAAGAGTAAACCTTTGAAGTCCTAAAATGAAAACACATCATTACCCTGGTTTTGCTGCACACCAGACAAAAAAGACCCCTGAGGAAGAAGCCATAACACACCTGGATGATGAGAGCTGCGAGCCCCACCCTCTCTGCAGTCTCCTGTGGGTTCTCCATTTTCTTTGTTGCTGAAACAAATAAAGGCAGCTGCTTTCAATGTGCACCTCACTGTTCAAGGATAATGGATCAGCGTATGGAAAAAAAAATCTAAGAATGTACAATCAAAAAATAAGATGATAATGGATCTTCCCTTCCTAACTTGGGGTAATAGTCAGTTCTCCTGCCTACATCAAAGTGAAGAAACAGGAACTTCATTTGTTTTTAAAATAAATATTCCTTGTAAGGTATTAGATAAAGCCCTTATTTTTTCAAGGGTGAAGGTTAAATACTTATACTTTATCCAGTTTATAATGCAAGGACTTGGGCTGGAAGACAGCTTAGTTGGCAAAGTGCTTGCCTAATGTGGTGTTCGGAATGAGAACCCGCATAGGCTCATATCTGAATGTTCGGTCCCCAGGTGCTGGAACTGCTTGGAAAGAGGAGGAGGTGTGGCACTGAGGGGTTGGCTTTGAGGTTTCAAAAGCCCATGTCACTCCCAGTTAGCTCTCTCTGCCTTTTGCTTGTGGATCAAGATGTAAGCTCTCAGTTACTGTTCCAGTGTCTGTCAGCCTGCTGCCATATACCCGGTCATGATGGTCATGGACTGTAAACCTTTGGAGCCATCAGCCCCAAATTAAATGCTTTCTTTTATATGTTGCTTTGCTTATGGTGCCTCAACACAGCAATAATAAAGCATGACACCTTGAAAACACAAGGACCTGAGTGTGAAAACCAGAACCTATGTTTTTGTTTAAAAACAACAACAACAAACAAACCTCTGCGAGTAGTGGTTTGTGTGTGCAATCCCAGTGCTAGGGAGGCTCATGACCAGCCAGCCTAGTCGGTAAGAGATCCTGCTTGTTCGTGTTTTATAAAAAGTGGGAGCGTCTGAGAACTCTGGCCTCAACATGAATGTATGCATGTGCGCACTTGACACACAGACATGTATAAAAATACAAGCACGTCACAGGATGACTTGGACAACAGTCTGTCAACATTCAAGCTGTCCATGTCAAGAAGAGTAAACTTACACCAATGAACAACTGAGCTACATGTCAAATTAATGAAAGCTGCTTCTGATCAGGTTCAGTGGAGTCCAAGAAAGCATAAAAGTAGCAGAGTATTTACTCTTAATGGAAGCCATGTTCTGTAGCATTCTTGATTGAACCTCATTTAAGACATCTTCCAGAAAAGTGACATCCCCTCTTCTAGTCTTCATTCCCTTTATTATCCCAAAAGGTACATGCTGGCACCTGAAATGGACAGGCATTTATTAACCAAAAGCTAAAATGGTGTGAATGATGTGAGTATATCTTAGCACCCTTTCAGAAAACAAACTTTTAACCTTGTAGTAGAGTTTTTAAAAATTACCAAATAAATAGGACGTAGCCAGGAATGGCATCTGTGGCAGTCAATTCAAGCCCTGGGAAATGAAGCGGGAAGACTAGGAGTTCAAGGTCATTCTCAGTTACATACACAGTTGTTCAAGGCCAACTCCTGCAAGGGACCTCGTTTCAAACAAAAATTCTCATCATTTTTTAATAGCTGAAAAGTTGTACTGTATACAGGTACATTTTCACTATTTGCTGGACACCCAGACTGACACCATTTCCTTGCAATTGTGAAAGAGGTCTCTGTAGTGGGACATGGAGCCCTGTGGGTATATATCCGGACATGGTTTAGCCGAGTCATACAGCAGCTCCATACTGATTTCCATAGTGGCTGTGGCCAGTTTATAGTTCCACCAGCACAGGAGCAGCCTTCCCTTCCCCCACGTCTTTACTGTGATTTGTGGCCGTGTTTTCTTGGTGACAGCACTCTGACTACAGTGAGATGGGATCTCTAAGTAGTTGTCATGTGCATTTCCCGGTGCCTTATACTGGTGAATACTTAAACAATATTGGCACACACACACTTTTGCTGTTTTTTTGAGACAGGGTCTCTTTCTATAGCTCTGGCTGTTCTGGAACTCACTATGTTGAACAGGCTGGTCTCAAACTCACAGAAATCCTCTTTTGTTTACTTGACTGTTTTCTTTATTATACACATGCTTAACTTTATGAGGTTACATCTGTTAAATGTTAGCCTTATTGCCTGAGTGAATTGCCATTAGAAAGTGCTCATATCTTAAATTGTTTCCCATACTTTTTCTTGTAGTGGTTTTAGATCTTACTTAAAAGTCTAGGAGCCCATTAGGAGTTGACTTTTTTGTGCAGTGTGTGAGAGATAACTACCTTCTTCCATTATTCCTCATGCACATATCCAGTAGGTTATATTAAGTGAGATAACCCAGGCTCAGAAAAACAAACACTGCCATGTTCTCTCCTAACCTCTGATTTTTACACGTGGGCATTCATGTTGGAATCAGTTGTGTGTAGAGGCTAAGAAAGTGGAAAGGGACTCATGAGAAGCCTGGGAAGGGGTGGGGACAACGACAGTAAAACACATCTGACAGAGAAATGAAAAGAGGAATGGCGGTGGAAAGATTTAAGTGTGGATGGAGAGCAAAGAAGTGGGGGAGACCTTAGGGGAGAGGGAAATCACAACTAAGAATGGATGAGAAAGCTATTAGTAAACTGATTACTTTGTGAGCTAATTAAAAACAAAATAATATTTAAAGTTTGAATGGCAATACTGTGTGGATGCATAAACTGCTCCCAGAACCATTAAGTTTATTAAGAAAAAAAAAATCTCAGTGCCAGGGTGGATACCACCTTATGACTTGAGCACCTAAAACAATACAAGCTATCTGGTTATCCACCAATAGTATACGATATAATATGCATGCAGGACATTGAGAAATCAAGCTGGGACTAGGCTAGGAGTCTCTTCCCTGCTGGCTAGCTTTCATAGTGCCACAAGATGCCATAGGCTGGAGGAGAGGTATCAACAATTGATGGAGGAAGGTCATTGGTTAATTAATAAAGAAAACTGCTTGGCCCTGATAGGACAGAAAATTAGGTAGGTGGAGTAGACAGAATGCTGGGAGAAAGAAGCCGAGTCAGTCAGTCGCCATGATTCTCCGACCCGAGGCAGACACAGGTTAAGATCTTTCTGGGTAAGCTACTGCCTCATGGCCCTACACAGATTATTAGAAATGGGTTAGATCAATATGTAAGAGCTAGCCAATAAGAGGCTAGAACTAATGGGCCAAGCAGTGTTCAAAAAAAATAGTTTTTGTGTAATTATTTCGGGTATAAAGCTAGCTGTGCGGGCAGTCAGGTGCCAGAAACACAGCCTGCCGCTCTCCTATACAACAAACAATCTAACTCAGCTGTGAACCTTGCATGCCCTACTCCTCCCACCAGACAAGGGAAGACTGTTATAGAGGCACCTAACCGCTCTGAAGGAAATTCAGACCTGGTTATGCACACATGGCTAAAGCTCACAGCTTGAATGGCTTTGAGCCGAAATGAAGGAAGTGCTAGTGTTGTTCTGATAAATGGACATATTATACTTATGAATGTACCTTCTAAGTGTTGTCCAGCTTTGGTCAGAGAAACTTTATCCAGTGGGCAACAAGTCTAACTACAGCATGACTGTTGAATGCTGAGCCCAGTTGGAAAGAATGTAAGAGTTGGAGGAAGTAGGAGAGTGTTGTGGGACGATGTCGTCTACGTATGGCAGGGATATACATTAATAAACTGTGAACCTGCCCAAGATTGGCCCATAGAACATCCCCTCACGGAGTGGGGAGGGGCTCATGAGGTTTTGCCCTCTCTGAGGACATAGAGGCAGTTAACAGTTGCTGGTGAAGGGAGAGACATTTTTGTCTCTGAGGACATAGAGGCAGTTAACAGTTGCTGGTGAAGGGAGAGACATTTTTGTCCATACTGTAGCTCCAAGAAAGGCATTCATGATTCTATCAAAATATCTCCCATGTTCTTTAGGCAACCCTAACAAATCATGGGCCCATAAATAAAAATCAATCAACCAATAAATAAATATAAAGGAAGGATGCGAATGGAAGAAGAGGGAAACAGTGTGAATATGATAAAATGCAATATATACATGTATTAAGAAATCATCATGTTCCAGCTCTCGGGAGGCAGAGGCAGGCAGATCTCTGTGAGTTCGAGGCCAGCCTGGTCTACAAGAGCTAGTTCCAGGACAGGCTCCAAAGCTACAGAGAAACCCTGTCTTGGAAAAAAAAAAACAAAAAACAAGAAAAGATATCATTATGTATAATTAAAATATAAGATATAAAAAAGATGTGATTCTTTGCAGTTCACTAAAGTTTCATTTTACTGAGAAAACCATTAGCTTGTGATTAAATTACTGATTGTCTTTATGAGGAAGAGGAAATGGATATTAATAATTGATAACCAAAACACTGATAGCAGACATCTAATAAATATTATCAGGACATAAATTAGTACAAAATCAATCTGTCTTTTCATACTAACATCCTGAAAAGAGACGTGAACATAAATTACTGTAATGTCCTGAGGCATGGCTGACATATGACATTAGTGACCTTGATCAGGCAACAAAGAACAACATGGATCTTACCTTTCTGCCCATTCATACCCCATCATCTTCAGTATTTGGAACACTTGCTGAAAATGCCTCTTTTGCCCTTTGTCTGTCTTGGGGAAAGTTTTTGGAATTTAAACAAAACAAAGACAAGTTAATAAGTAAAAATGGGCTGGTCCTACACAAAAAACATTAGAGTTTTGTCAGACTAGAGTCATTGTCAATGCTTTAAATAAACATAGTAGTGGCTGGAGCATGGCTCAATGATTAAGGGTATTTACTATCTGCTCTTCCAGAGATCCCAAGTTTGGTTCCCACCACCCACATTGGGCGGTTCACAGCTCCAGCTCCAGGGATCTGATGCCCTCTTCTAGCTTGTGGGTGCCTGCACACACAGGCATTCATTTTCTTTCTCTCATACACATAAATAAAAATTAAAATAAATCTTAAGCACATGACAAGACTATTAAAGTTGATAGGAAAATAAGAGTGGTAGCACCTTAAGACAGGAGGAAACATGAAAAAAAATCCGAATATTCTATTTCATTTCCTTCTCTCTCAGATGTTATAATCTCTATTTCCAGAAGACCAAAGCTAAGCTGAACAAGATGGCGCCGCCTTCTTGGTTACAGGGAGGCAGAACATGCAAAGGAAGTAGGCAGAGAAGAGACTGGAATACCAGTCAACAACACAAGGATCAAGCTAGTGATAACACTGCCTTGGCTGGGTCTCAGGGACGATTGCTAAGTTGGGAGAAAAAAAACAATTCTAGAAAGTTACAAACTGTATGATGCCAGTTACACACTGTTAAATTGACAGCATCTGTGCCAAAGATCAAGGGAAGGGTCGGAGGGAGCTGTGATCCAGTGGAGGATCACCAGGAGGGAGCTGTGATCCAGTGGAGGATCTCCAGGAGGGAAGGGTCGGAGGGAAGTGTGATCCAGTAAATGACCATCCGTGTTCTGAATGTGGTGGTGGTTACACATCTATACATGGGACAGATGATGGAGGAAGGTCATTGGCTAATAAAGGCACTGCCCTGGCCCATTTTATTGGTTAGAGGATAGGTGGGAGGAGAAAACAGAACAAAATGCTGGTAGGAAGAGGAAGTGAGCGGAGAGACTCCACAGCTCTGCTCTCTCGGGAGCAGATGCCTCAGAGAGAGACGCCATGCCCCGCTCCCGGGATGAAGCTCCGACCCAGGATGGACTAGGCTAGAATCTCCCTGGTAAGCGCACCTTGGGGTGCTACACACAGATGATTATAAATGGGCTAAATTAATATGTGAGAATTAGCCTAGAAGAGAATGGGCCAGGCAGTGTTTAAATGAATACAGTTTGTGTGTTGTTATTTCGGGGCATAAGCTAGCTGGGCAGACAGCCGGGGTGCTGGGGACGCAGCCCCGCTGCCCTTATTACTTCGTCGGTAGAGCATGAGACTCTTAATCTCAGGGTCGTGGGTTCGAGCCCCACGTTGGGCGCCATACGAAGTAATAAGGGCAGCGGGGCTGCGTCCCCAGCACCCCGGCTGTCTGCTCAGCTAGCTTATGCCCCGAAATAACAACACACAAACTGTATTCATTTAAACACTGCCTGGCCCATTCTCTTCTAGGCTAATTCTCACATATTAATTTAGCCCATTTATAATCATCTGTGTGTAGCACCCCAAGGTGCGCTTACCAGGGAGATTCTAGCCTAGTCCATCCTGGGTCGGAGCTTCATCCCGGGAGCGGGGCATGGCGTCTCTCTCTGAGGCATCTGCTCCCGAGAGAGCAGAGCTGTGGAGTCTCTCCGCTCACTTCCTCTTCCTACCAGCATTTTGTTCTGTTTTCTCCTCCCACCTATCCTCTAACCAATAAAATGGGCCAGGGCAGTGCCTTTATTAGCCAATGACCTTCCTCCATCAGACAGAGTTCCATAAAACCAGCCTATACAGGAATGCATAGATAAACTGAAAAGATTTGAATGTTTCTACACATGTTAATCTAATCTTGACAAAGTAATTTCATGTGTCTGTAGAAGGGAGTGGGTGAAGGGTACTCAGAACCACTGGTAGTCTGAAATTTTGTGTCTTAAGATATTACAAAATTTTAAAAGTTTTTTTCTCATTTTCTTAATTTCTTCTTCCTTCCCTTCCTTCCTTCCTTCCTTCCTTCCTTCCTTCCTTCCTTCTCTCCCTTCCTCCCCCCCCCCCCCCCCCTCTCTCTCTCTCTCTCTCTCTCTCTGTGTGTGTGTGTGTGTAGCCCTGGCTGTCCTGTAGACCAGACTGGCCTTGAACTCAGAGATCACCTGCCTCTGCTTCGTGAGTGCTGGGGCTAAAGGTACGTACACCACTACCACCTGAAAAGTTCTTTTTAAAACATAGTTCTAACACTTTATTTTATTTACAGCAATAAAGCTTGTATAATAACACTATTATAAGTTGATACAGTTTTAAAATTTTATTTAAAATTTTAAAAAGATTTATTTATATGTATGAGTGTTCTACATGCATGTATGTCTGTGTACATGTGGGCTGTTTCTCCATTCCCTTGATGCAATTTTAAACATAAGAGAAAATATTCAGATTACAAACTCCTCCCCGCAAAATAAATTAAAAAATAATTTTTAAAAAATGCACTAATAGGACAAATAGGATGAATGCAAGTGCCTCATACTAACTCATGTACAGTAATTTCATCATATAATGCAAGTGCCCCATACTAACTCATGCACAGTAATTTCATATAACCACCTTCTTGATTTTGTTATTTTTTTCACTATGAAGCAATATAAACTTTTGACTTTTGAGTCTTTTAAAAAATAAATTTAATGCTTGGAGAAATGGCTCAGTCGTTAAGGCTGCTCTTTCAGAGGTCCTGAGTTCAATTCCCCACAACCACATTGTGGCTTACAACCATCTGTAATAAAATCTGGTGTCCTCTTCTGGCCTGCAGGCATGCCTGCAGACAGAACACTGTATACATAAATGCAAATAAATCTTAAAAAAAATTAAAAGACGCCACTATCTTAATCAACTTAGTATTTAATTGTTTTCCGCAGTTTCACAAAATTGTTTCTGGCAATTTTTTCAACATAGTTTCCTTTTTGCTTTCTGCTGGTGAGTGAGGGCACATGTGTACACAGGTGTTCCTGCCACGATTCACACGTGGAGGTTGAGGACAATTTAGAGGTGATTCTCTCCTCCCTTCATTACGTGGGTTTTAGGAACTGAACTGACATCATCAGTCTTACAAGGCAAGCACCTTACCCACCGAGTCATCTCTCTGGCCCTGGTTTCCGATTTCTGTCTCTGTCTAGTTTCCATGAGGTAGGTTCATAATCTTTTGTTTTTTATTGTGATTACTTACCACATAAATCATGGTATCAAAATTATACTTGTCCATGCGATCTATAGCAGCTGCAAGATCCCTGAAAAAATGGGTTATAATTACTTTTACTGTATTATTCTGTGGCCTGGAGCATATGACACATCCTTGTGGAGTCCCAGTACACTTTGATAAGAAATAATAACAAAATTGGGTTTGAAAAAACAAAACAACAATGCCCTGGAAAGTACAATTAAAATGCAACTTAGTTAGTTACAAAAGCTGTAGAGCAAGTAACCGTGAAAGGTCTCAGGTGTCTTACACTTAACTAAGCCTTCACAGAAAAGAACCATCTAGTTACTACTTTTCTACCACACATTTTCTCAAAAGAACAATTATAATTATAGATGAGAAAGAGCTAAAGAAGTACCGTTTACCCTAGTCTGTGTTGGCAAAAACATTCAAAATGGCTCACTCAGAAGCAGTAACTTCTACTGCATTTAAAAAAACTCCTAAGACCCTGGATCGCTCAGTGATTATTAGGAGCCACATACTATTTCCCTTTCTCTCTCTCTCTCTCTCTCTCTCTCTCTCTCCCTTTCTTTTTTTTTTTTTTTTTTTGAGACAGGGTTTCTCTGTAGCTTTGGAGCCTGTCCTGGAGCTAGCTCTGTAGACCAGGCTTTGCTCGAACTCAAGAGATCCGCCTGCCTCTGCCTCCCCAGTGCTGGGATCAAAGGCTTGCGCCACAACCGCCTGGCTCATACTACTTCGGTAGAGGAGCCAAGTGAAGTTCCCAGAACATGAAAGGCAGCTCACAACTGCCTATAACTACAGCTCCAGAGGATTCAACAAACTCTTCTAGACCCCAGGGCACCTGAACTCCCATGTATATGTGTGTATTTATACACACACCCACACCCCCCTCTCGTAAGGCATTCCATTTTTTTTCTCATTAACCCCAATTGCAAGAAATTGATGAAGAGAAATACTAAACCAGACAGAGATGAGTTCTCTAAGGGGTTTTTAGAAAATTAACTGGTTGTCTCAGTTACTTGTAATAATGAAATTTTCAACAGCATAACTACCACTGTTAGAAATGTGCTCCTGTGTAAAGCTGTGGGCATAGCTCAGTGAGTGGAACAGTGCTTGTCTAACAGAAACATAATCTTGGATTTAATTCCTAATTTAGTTAGGAATTAATGGCAACAAACCAATGTGTACAGCGGTTTATAACCTACTTAAAACTCAGGCCGGGGTGACACTGGGACCTTCTGCCAGAGGTGGATGGTTATGGCTGTTTCACTGCCCTGCCTTCTCTTCCCATTGGCTTTATTCAAGAAACCATGTGTGCTTGGTAAGTGCAACTCTCATATATGAAGAATGAGTCCTCACTTCCACAGGCATGGTATGGAGAAGCCCATTTTCTCATTTTTCACAATATAATGAGGTTTGGTATTGCATGTAAAATGGTCTCTAATATGTGAGGTCAACATTGAACCTTAACTTGGTCATTTTTTAGAATATATTTCCTGATAATGTGTACTTAATATATAATTATGAAGGACCACGGACAGAATGATGTGCTATGCTGTGAACAGTTTATGATAGTCAATACATTTTAATATAAAATCCCATTCTTCTGATATTAAATCTTTCTGGAAATTGTAACTGGCAATAAATAGAAACCCAGAAAATATTCCTAAAATATGCAAATAGATTTATAGTTTGTAACTAAATTTTTTAGGAAAGAGTTTGGAGGACAAGATGACTGTTTGCTTTCATCTTGGGACAAGGAGTCTGGAGTCTCAGGCTGCTCACCCAGACAGTACAAACCTGGTTGCATAGAGAGAAGTTCCATCACTTCGCATCACAGTGCAGACAGAAGAGAGGTCACCTGTCCCTGAGAGATCTACTACAACATTTCCTGTTCTGGAAAACACAAAAGAGAAGCCCAAAATCAACATAATGACTGTATGTGAAGACAGAGTCGTTAGAGCACTTTTGGCAACCAGAAGCTATTCTTATTGTAAGTGGTGTCAGTTCACACTAAAAGCAACAACTGTCAAAACCAAGAAGTTAGCTGACATGGTGAAAATTAAAACTACAGCCGGGCGATGGTGGCGCACGCCTTTAATCCCAGCACTTGGGAGGAAGAGGCAGGCGGATCTCTGTGAGTTCGAGACCAGCCTGGTCTACAAGAGCGAGTTCCAGGACAGGCTCCAAAACCACAGAGAAACCCTGTCTCGAAAAACCAAAAAAAAAAAAAAAAAAAAAGAAAATTAAAACTACAATGATAGTTCCTCATTTGTGTTAGAATCCTTTTATTTAAACAAATAAACAAAACCCAAAGAAGGGATGGCAGGCATTGGCAAGGATGTGGAGAAAAGGGATCCTCACATACCACAGGGAGGAATGTGAGTTAGTACAGTCATCACAGAGAGTAGTAAAGAGGGTCTTGAAAAACAGTGAAATAAAGAATGATTCTTAAATCCAGCAATTCTATTAATAAATAAATAAATATATATATATTAAATATATATATTATTTTTAAGATATAAAAATAAGGAATTAAAAATATTGTGCTGAAAAAATACTGCACTGCCATGTCCATTGTAGCATTATGTACAATAGTCAAGACATGAAATCAACCTCAGGCTTCGTCTGCTCATAGATTTTAAAGATGTGATAGAGTTTTCTATTTCCATCCATTGTTTTTTACCGCAGCGTAGTACTCTAGCGTGTATATATATTCCATACTTTCTTCATCCATTCTTCCATTGAAGGGCATCTAGGTTGTTTCCAGGTTCTGGCTATTACAAATAATACTGCTATGAACATAGTTGAACAAATGCTTTTGTCATATGATAGAGCATCTCTTGGGTATATTCCCAGGAGTGGTATTGCTGGGTCCAGGGGTAAGTTGATCCCGAATTTCCTGAGAAACCGAAACACTGACTTCCACAGTGGTTGCACAAGATGGCATTCCCACCAGCAATGGATGAGGGTACCCGTTCCTCCACAGCCTCTCCAGCAAAGGTTATCCTTGGTGCTTTTGACTTTAGCCATTCTGACAGGTGTAAGATGATATCTCAAAGTTGTTTTGATTTGCATTTCCCTGATTGCTAAGGAAGTTGAGCACGACTTTAAGTGTCTTTTGGCCATTTGAACTTCCTCTGCTGAGAATTCTCTGTTCAGTTCAGTGCCCCATTTTTTAATTGGGTTAATTAGCATTTTAAAGTCTAGTTTCTTGAGTTCTTTATATATTTTGGAGATCACACCTTTGTCTGTTGTGGGGTTGGTGAAGATCTTCTCCCAATCAGTAGGTTGCCTTTGTGTCTTATTGACTATGTCCTTTGCTTTACAGAAGCTTCTCAGTTTAAGTAGGTCCCATTTATTCAATGTTGCCCTTAATGTCTGTGCTTCTGGGGTTATACATAGGAAGCGATCTCCTGTGCCCAGCTCCTGTAGGGTACTTCCCACTTTCTCTTCTATCAGGTTCAGTGTGTTCGGGCTGATATTGAGGTCTTTAATCCATTTGGACTTGAGTTTTGTGCACGGTGATAGATAAGGGTCTATTTTCATTCTTCTACAAGATGACATCCAGTTGTGCCAGCACCATTTGTTGAAGATGCTTTCTTTCTTCCATTTTATACTTTTAGCTCCTTTATCGAAAATCAGGTGTTCATAGGTTTGTGGGATAAAATCCGGGTCTTCTATACGATTCCATTGGTCGACTTCTCTGTTTTTATGCCAGTACCACACTGTTTTCATTACTGTAGCTCTGTAATAGAGTTTGAAGTCAGGGATGGTAATGCCTCCAGAAGATCCTTTATTGTATAGGATTGTTTTGGCTATCCTGGGTTTTTTGTTTTTCCATATAAAGTTGATTATTGTCCTCTCCAGATCTGTGAAGAATTTTGATGGGATCTTGATGGGGATTGCATTGAATCTATAAATAGCCTTTGGTAGAATTGCCATTTTTACTATGTTGATCCTCCCAATCCAAGAGCAAGGGAGGTCCATCCATTTTTTGGTATCCTCTTCAATTTCTTTCTTCAATGCCTTAAAGTTCTTGTCAAATAGATCTTTCACTTCCTTGGTTAGATGTACCCCAAGATATTTTATGCTGTTTTTGGCTATTGTGAATGGTGAAGCTTCTCTGATTTCCCTCTCTGCTTCCATATCCTTTGTGTATAAGAGGGCGACTGATTTTTTGGAGTTGATCTTGTATCCTGCCACATTACTAAAGCTGTTTATCAGCTGTAGGAGTTCTTTGGTGGAGTTTTTAAAGATGTGATAGATACCTAACATGAAATAGCACTGCTCAGGCCTTAAAAATGAATGACATTGGTGACAACACAAATGAACCTGGAGGACATTTTGCTCAAAGAAGTAAGTCAGGCACACAAAAAAACAAAAAAAACAAAAATTACATGACAGCACAAATGGAATTTGTGAAGGAGAAAAATAGTTAAAATACCAGCTGTAGGAAGGGTTGAGATATTAGTTAAAGGATACAAAGTTGCAGTTGGAAAGCAAGAGCAAGTCCTAGAATTACAATTTAATGTTCATATCCAGCTGAGTATATGAGGTGAGAGGCACATAGCTCATCCGCACCACAGCTAAGTGTACTAACGTGCCTGATTTAATGAGCACATGCAGCAAAGCCTCAAGATACAACATGAAAATGCAAAATCTGCTGTTAACTTTCTCAAAAAGGAAAGAATTCTACTATATACAAGGTAACAATATCAATAGGGATGTACTACCATTACTTTACGCCTATTTTCATAAGTTGACTTAAATATTTTTTGAAACTGGCAGCTGTCTGTTCCCACCCCCAAAAGGGTGAGGTTAAGTCACAAAAGCACATTCTGTTTCCTCTTTTCAAATCATTAATGTAACTGGAGGCAGGCTTCATTGTTTTTATACTTCTGTCCCCTTTTATAAGAGGAGCCATCCTTTCTCCTATTAACATGAGACTTTGGTCATGATAGCGATATAGCCTATGAGAAAGCATCTCATTACTTCAATTCGTGAGTCCCCTGCCTTGGCCTTCTGCATGTGGCCCTGACTATCACGGAACTCACAGAGAACCTCCTGCCTCTGCTTCGCAAATGCTGAGATTAAAGGTTAGTACCACCATGCCTGGCAAGAGAAAGTACAAATGGAAAACACTACATACCTTATCTTTGTCCTCACTCAGAGACTATATTGACATCAGTGTTAAAGAACACGCATACTTGACTAGAGCACAGTAACCTGGGGCTGGATGTGGTGGCATGTGCCTTTAATCTCAGTGCTGGAGGATCTCTGTGAGTTTCAGGGCAGCGTGGTCTGCAAGTAGTTCTAGGCCAGCCACGACTACATAGTGAGTTACAATCTTCAAGAAAACAAGGGAAGGAAGGGAAAGGGGAAGGGAGGGAGGCAGGAAAAGGGAAAGGGAGAATAGTAGCTTGATCATACATTGTTTTCTGTAGAAGTCCTTTGCTGTCCAGCAACTTTAAAATATCTCGAGATTTTTCACGGTAAAACGATTCTCCTGAATATTCATCAAAGTACACTCCAAGGCGCTAAGAAGATTCAGAAGTATGGGGAAAATGTTGGTTAATTTTTTACTAAGACAAAACTAAAGATGTCTTACCCCTGCCACAAAGATGGAAACTAAAGCTTAGACTTTCTAACAACCACAGTGCCAGTGGCCAAATCCTCAGTGTGTATCTGCAGTCACAGGCATTCATGGCCTCAGGATCTAGATAGCACTGAACATTTACTGTAACAGCTACTCATCACACTCAGGCAGTCATGCGGCCAAGGCAGCTGTGAAGGCTTCTGCAGCCAGAAGTCTGCACTAACTGCACAGCCTGGCAAAGGGAACCATCATGCTCCAGTCCAGCCTCTTGGCTCCCGTTCCACACCACTGCTCACCTTGCTCACTCACCCCCAGTACAGTCTTCTTTCCCACCATCTAGCACTACCTCACAAATTATGTTTTCTGAGAGAATGAGGACAAGAGAAGCTCTGGATTATTTATTTGTTTTCAGCTCTCTCACCCAAGAACATCATTTGACTGGAGTTTCAACTAAACTAGACATCTACTTAAGCAGCAGGCAGTAAGCACAATACCAGCAAGGGAACACAGAGGTTCTGGGGTACCTTGTAAATCTGAATGTACTCTTCAACGCTCAAGTTCCGAAATCTTTGCCACAGTGAAAGTGCCTGCACGTCACCCAGTTCTAGTCGATGGAAGAATTCGTGTGCCAATTTCGCTACATTTTTATCATCTGCAGCTTCTTTATTAACCTGTACGTAAACCTAAAAGTACATTAAATGTACTATTATACACTGTTATTTCCATACAAAAACTTAATTGAGAAAGGCTTATCACAGTAGCATGGCTTAATCCAGTAAATGAAAGATGAATGGGAGGTTTAACAGCTACTAAAGATTATTTTCTATTGTTTATTCTTTGACAGTCTCCCATGTCATGATACACTCCAATTGTGCTTCCCTCCACCCCCTCTCACCGTTATCATCCTCCATTCTCCTCTATCCATCCCGTCCCCAGATTTATGACCTCTGAACAGGGCCATTTGTATGACCACTGGGTTGGATATGCCCACAACTGAGGGCAATGACTCTCCCAGCGCTGAACCTATCATCAAAGGGTTGAGCATCGCGGGTGGGGACTTTGGAGTCTTCTTCCACCTACATCTGACTATTCCCCAGCCTAATCTTCTCAGATGTGGTCCAGGAGCTATTTTTTATGAAAAAACTTAAAGCTATTCTTTCAAGCTATAAAAGACAACAGGCGGTGACTGCAAACAGAAATAGTTACAGGAAGGTTAACTAATTCCAGCTTGGACTCTTAAGCATTATGTGGAACAGGCATTTTGTGGTTTTGCACTATCCACTTTGCTGGTTTAGTTCTGTAAACTGGAAAGGTATGGGGCTGATGGTTTACTAAGGCTCACTTCTAATGCAGTTTTAATTGTTTTTTCGGTACCCGCCATTAGTAATTTGCAAATTGTAGGGGTTAATAATATCAATTAATGTTAGGCTTTGTCGCAACAGTAATCAAGATTTTTCATTATTAGCAAAAAGGAAAGTCGAAAAAACTTCAAACTTCTCTCAGAATTTCACTATGTGTATTTTAAAGTTTCCATTATTATTGATATCTAGCTTTATTTCATTATGGTCTGATAAGAAAAAGAAATTATGATATGGGGTTTCCTTCTGTATGCTAAGAATATGTTTTATTACCATTGGTTAATAAAGCAGTTGCTTTGGTCTGTGGCAGGACAGAATATAGGTAAGTAGAAATCTAAACTGAATGCAGGGAGAAAGAAGGTGGAGTCAGGTAGACTCCACAAAATTGCCGAAGGTAAAAGATGCCAGAATCTTACCGGTAAGCCAAAGCCTCGTGGTAAAATATAAAATAATAGAAATGGGTTAATTTAAGATTTAAGAGCTGGCTAGGAATATGCCTGAGCAACTGTTGGCCAAACAGTGTTGTAATAAATACAGCTTCTGTGTGATTATTCATGTCTGGGTGGCTGGGGAATGAAGGTGCAGTCTCTGCTTACAAAATTATTTCAATTTTTGTGATTGTTAAAAGCCTTGCTTTATGTTGCAAAACATGACTTATTTTAAAGAACGCTCTAAGGCCTTCTGAAAGAATGCGGCTGAAACCAACACTGTGCAAATGCTGAGAAGGACACCTGCCCACACCTCACTGGGAGAGCAATGAGCCCAGAGCTGCACGTGGGGAGCAAGTGCTCTGCACTCAGGCACATACATCCCAGTACTGAGTCTGAATGGTAAAAGAATCACAGAAATTTAAAGTTTTTGCATTCAATCCCCAGCACTGGGGGAAAGGAAGGAAGGAAGGAAGGAAGGAAGGGGGAGGCAGAAGAGAAAGGAGATATTAACTGAATTTCAGCATATCAGCACTTCAAACAATTAACAATAAAGTTTAAAATTTCTGCCTAAAACAAAATCCAACTTCCAAATTCATCATTGAATTTCTTCTCCTTAATATATTACCATTGCACATGAAAAGTATTTGAACCTTAATCTCTTTCCTATGTTGTTTTTCTTATTTTTATTTATTTTGTAATATAATAAAAACATCTTCTCTTTCTGTTTTGTTTCTTTGAAACAAGGGAATACACCTCATCCTTCTGCCTCTACTTCCCAAATTCTAGAATTGCAGGATGTGCCATGGCCCCTATAAAATGCCTTTTCTCCTACAACTGGGACTTGTACCCAGTCTTGTGAATGCTAAGCTAGTTAGTGTTCGACCACTGAATGATCTGCCCAGCCTTTGAATATCATTCAAGGATGACACTAACTTTTGTAGAACAGTGTGCACTAGGTTCATGTTGAAAATAGTATGGTTTGCACAATTCACTGAGGTCAGATACACACTGTATACCTTGTCCCTATGAGGTGCCCCCATTCTGATGTTGCATACTGCAGTATTATAGCAGAAAGCTGCAGGTGGGTAGAAAGGCATGCATTTTTTGGAAGAAGGAGAACTGTCTAGATTGGAGAGGACTGGGAGCACTGCCAGGAAAACAGCAGCTGAGGAGTCCACAGGGTGGGGCAAGCCTCCGAGGGCACTACTCCTAGTGCGCCTACACAGGATGGCAGAGTCCCTCTAGTTCTTCTAGGTCTAAAATAATAAATAATAAAATATTAAACTAAAATAATAAAAAGAAGAAAGTATGATGCAGGCATAAACTCTAAAAGAAATAGAGAATTCAACTTTACTACATAGGTAGCTTCAAGGGAAAGATCAAGCAAAAAGGAAATGACAAATGCCCTCTCTGAGTTCTTTGGTTAGGGATGTAGACCCTTAGTTTGGCGAGTACTCTTCCTTACAGAGACAGAACATCTGTAGTTTGGTTCCCTGTATGTCTATCACTAACATGTGTGACACAGAAAACAATGAGACAATAAAAATGAAATTTGACTCTGGAGAGTACTTGGGCAGGAGGACCAGGTAACAACACCCAGGTGAAGCCTGCAACATACAGAGAACTGATGTCTCGCAGGGTTGGTGGGGACAGCTTGTATATTGGAGACCAACATGGAACGAAGATAATAAACCTGGGTCTGGGAACAATTTGCTAAAGTTGTAGTAAAAAATGTCATTTTCTGAGTATTAAAAACATAATACAGAAAATAATTATAGAGAGTGAGAGGGAATATTTTATTTATTGATAATGGTAAAGTGGATTTAGTTTTTAAGTTTGTGCCTACTGATTATACCCTTAATGGAAAAGATAAGCTAAGTTTCTAGTCTCCATGTCAGGTGCAGAACGGGAGGGGTGACTCAGCGGCTCAAAGCACTCACTGCGCTGCCAGAGGTCCTGCGTTCAGTTCCTAGCACCCACCTAAGTGGGCTCTAGCTCACTGTAACTCTAGCTTATAAGGAATGTGATGCCTCTAGGGCAATTGCACTCATGTGAACATACCAACATGCACAGACACAGAACTAAAATAATAAAAAGAAGAAAGTATGATGCAGGCATAAACTCTAAAAGAAATAGAGAATTCAACTTTACTACATAGGTAGCTTCAAGGGAAAGATCAAGCAAAAAGGAAATGACAAATGCCCTCTCTGAGTTCTTTGGTTAGGGATGTAGACCCTTAGTTTGGCGAGTACTCTTCCTTACAGAGACAGAACATCTGTAGTTTGGTTCCCTGTATGTCTATCACTAACATGTGTGACACAGAAAACAATGAGACAATAAAAATGAAATTTGACTCTGGAGAGTACTTGGGCAGGAAAAGAAACCTGAGATATAGAGAATAAAGCTATCCAGAGGACAAAATGAAGAAAACTGGGTGTTCACATTGGGCAAACCTCAGGAAGAACTGAATGGCTTAATGAATAAAACAAAACATAAAACTTTAGAATACAATTTATAGAGTGGTTTTCCTGTACAATGAGAAAATAAAAGGGCAAAAAAACATACACTAAAGATTTACAAATCTTGTTGGGCAGTGGTGGTGCCAGCCTTTAATCCCAGCACTGGGAAGGGAGAGGTGGGTGGATCTGTGAATTCAAGGCCAGCCTGGTCTGCAGAGTAAGTTCCAGGACAGCCAGGGCTGTTGCTATAAATACCAGAAAGAAAGATGAAATATATAAACTGACAGAACAGAGAGAAATTTCTGTGTCTTTCTTAGCCATTAGCCTGTGTGGATTTTATGGTTTGTTTGTTTTGAGGCTCTGTAGCACAGACTGGCCTCCTGAGAGCTAGGACTATAAATGTGCATTGCCTGACCAGATCCTATGCATTACTTCTAAGATGATTCCATGTATCTGGGGAATTACTGTTTAAAATCAAGTAAAACAGAATACTTTTTTTTTTTAAAGAAACCAGTTGGACTGGAACTGAAATTAGTCAGGTCTTGGGATTGCCTTAAAAAGTCTTTGTGAAGTATTCTGAAAAAAATGTTGAAGCATTCTCTAATGTTGCCTTACCAACTTACTTCAAAGAGATGTTGTAAAGGATTGGACTGGAGTTTTTCTTCATAGCCAAACAGCTGGAAACCTGTTCCCAGCAGACCTGTTAAGATAATCAGTAAATGAAACATTATTCAATAAAATAATAGAGCAGTCAGTCATGGTGAAAACCAGGTATAGTTCTATAAAAAGATGAACTTCTCAGTTATAAACCCCGAGAATCACTGCTATATATAAGGCATATTTTATAAAATGACACAGTAAACAGAGACTGCTCTTTTGTTCCCAGCCACCCAGACCCAAATAATCACACAGAAACTATATTAATTATAACACTCTTTGGCCTATTACTCAGGCTTCTTACTAACTAACTCTTGCATCATAAATTAACCCATTTCTATTAATCTATATATCACCATGAGGATGTGGCCTACTGGAAAGGTTCTGGTGTCCTACTTCTGCAGCTACATGGCATCTCTTTGACTCCACCTACTTTCTCTCTCTATCTCTGCCAACCTGGCCATATTCTGCCCCACCATAGGCCAAAGCAGCTTTATTCATTAACCATTAAGAGCAAAACATATACAGAAGGACATCCCACATCATGGCACATCAAAAGAAAAACACTGAAAAGCTTATTCCAAACTGCAATGGCTCACTGAGCCTAAGTTAAAAGATTGTAAGCTCATCCAACACAGAGTCTAGGTCTACTTATGATGGAGGAAGGTCATTGGTTAATAAAGAAACTGCCTTGGGCCCATTTGATAGGCCAGCCCTTAGGTGGGTGGAGTAAACAGAGCAGAATGCAGGGAGGAAGAGGAAGTGAGGTAAGACGCCTCAGACAGACGCCATTTCCTCTCCTCTCTGGGGCAGACGCGATGAAGCAAGCCACCAGGTCAGACATGCTGAAACTTTCCTGGTAAGACTGGTGCTACACAGGTTACTAAATATGGGTTAGGCAAGATAAGTCACTACCTCGTGGTACTACACACATTAACAGAAATGGGCCAAGCAGTGTTTATATGAATACAGTTTGTGTGTTGTTATTTTGGGGCATAAGCTAGCCAGGTGGCCAGGAGCTGGGTGGCAGGAACGCAGCCCGCAGCTCCCACAACAACTTATCTTTGCATTCAGTAATTCTTTGGCAGACAGTAAGAAAACAAACATTTATTGGACAGTTACTTTGTGAGGCACTAGACATTCAAAATTATACTGATATACTCAAAGTTATATTAATCTGAACTCTCAAAAAATACTAAATGAGGTTTTAGAATAGTCTTAATAAACAATAGTAAAAGATGACTATAATTTTAGTTTCAAAGGACAAATATGATGTGGGATTCCCCTCTGTATGCTATGAATATGACTTATTACCATTGGTTATTAAAGAAGCTGGCTTAGTAAAGCCAGGCAGGAAGTCCAAACAAAAGCATAGAGACAAAGTAGGCAGAATCAAGGAGACGCCATATAGCTGCTGAAGGAGACAGATGCTCCGGAACCTTACCAGTAGGCCACAGCCTCATGCTGATACACAGAGTAATAGAAATGGGTTAATTCGAGATGTAAGAGCTAGCTAGAAGTATGACTGAGTCATTGGCTGAAAGGTGTTATAATTAATATAGTTTCTGTGAGATTATTTGGGTCTGGGTGGCCAGGAAATGAATGAACAGTCTTTGCCTACACAAACACAACCTGGGTCTAGAGCAGGATGTAGGCTTGTTATTTTGAAAAACTAATGTTTAAGCAGCCATGCCAATCATCAAGCTTCATATCTAAAAGGTTTATGAATGCTCACTTTGCATCCTTTTATGGAAGATTTGTTTAATTTTATGTGGATGAGTGTTTGCCTGCATGTATGTATGTATGTATGTATAGTACAGGCATTCCTGGTGCATGCAAAGGCCAGGAGAACAAATTGAGTCCTCTGGAACAGGAGTTAACAAGTTGCTGTAAGCTGCCATGTGGATGCTGGGAACCCAACTCGGGTCCCCTACGAGAGCCACAAGTGTTCTTAACTGCTGAGCCATCTCTCCAGCACCAATGCTCATTTTCCTATGAGACTCAGCAGAGAGCACAATGCTATTTTGAGAAGAAGAAATGTTCTAGATCCCAGAGAACACTGAGGAAGATGTTTAAAGTTCTGTTTATTTCAAAAGAAAAACAAATGTGATTATGATTCAGGGTACTGGGAGCAGAACGTGCAGAGATGCCCAGTGATTACTGAAAAGATGGGAAAAGCAAAAACTATTCCATTTAACATTCAGTTTGATACATGTTGAAAAACTAATTCTGTGCACAGAAGCCATGTGCCAACTTTCAAATGGAATATCTGAAAGAAAATTTTAATTCTTCTAACAGCTGTAATGAAATGCTAACAGGTCATTAATAACATTATTCCTGTGTTGTGGAATATTAGTTTAAGATATGTTACATTTGTTTATGCTGTGGAATATTTGTTTAATGATGCAAAGATGTGTTTCATTCTTTTATGTTGCATTTGTTTAACTCTGTAAAACTGAATTACATTGCCTGCCTCATCCACCCGATTGGTCTAATAAAGAACTGAACGGCCAATAGTTAGGCAGGAGGAGGAAGGAGAGGAGGGGCTGGCATGCAGAGAGAATAAATAGGAGGAGAAATCTAAAGGAAAAAAGAAAGTGAGTAGAGAAAAGGAGAGGACTCCAAGGGTCAGCCAGTCATTCACAGAGTAAGAAGGAAAGAAGGATATATAAAGAAAAGGTAAAAAGCCTAGAGGCAAAAAAAAATAGTTAAAGAGAAATGAAATAATTTAAGTTAGAAAATCTGGTTAGAAACAAGCCAAGCTATGGCTAGGGATTCATAAGTAAGAATAAGCTTCTGTGTATTTATTTGGGAGCTGGGTGGCAGGCCCCCCAAAAGTGAAAGAAACAAACAAAAACACCAATTATATTTCTATAAAGAAAAATATTACTGTAAAATCTTTCAGCCAAAATTTGATAACTACTCAAATCACATACTTGCTGAAGCCTGTGAAATGTCTAAATCAGTCAAAGGAATAAAAGTGGATGCTATCTATAAAGACTTGATTGTTGTACCTAGAGCTTAAACTTAAGTAATTACTCATAAGAAGTCATTATAAATATCTTACAAAAAAGTTCCTTTAAATGAAGTGGTCTTTCTTTTGGAAACTGATTTCCTCTCACTGGATGTAGAATATAAGCGTGTTAGTGAATTTCAGAACTAGTGATGTGTACTATACACTCCTAGAGAAGCCTTACGCTATCACCTAGGTTTGCTATTAGTATCGTAAGCATCATTCATCACTGGGTGTCTCTTATGTGCCACACATTGTGGATACAAAAGTAATTATGGCATAGTCTATACTTTGAAGGAATTAGCATCTTGTGGGAGAAAGAGCACACAAAAAGTGCTACAACAAAAATCCCAGTGAGGACAGCTGCCTTCTAGGAATTTGGTGATACCTCTCTGCCAGAGAACGTAGCAGTATGGCCGGACCTTGAAAACATCACAAGATTGTATTCAGTGTGCAACCAGTCCCTCATCTGTCTTGCCTTCCTCATACCTAGGTTACTGGTTGTATGAACCACAAAGTTTCCAAATGACCTTAGACATGACTGATGCCACACAACTGTTGGGCCTCACCCTTTTCCTTTCATCCTCCACCTCATCCACTGGGAGGTTCTAGAGAAAGCCAACATATCATACTTTGTTTTACCTCTGGGTTACTCAGTCACGTAACAATAAATCCCATTTCTCATCAGATGTGGGGCCGGGGTTGGACCTCACTGATCTAAAAATGCAGGCCTTGGCTGAGATGGGAATACATAGCTAGAATTATTTCTTCTCTGTGTATTCATTTCTACCTTTAATCAATAAAGGTAAGTTACTCTTCCTCACTAAAGGCTTAATGTGCACGTGTGTGTGTTAAGTGTATTAATTAGGCATTTCTCTGAATATTCAATTTAATTATATGATGAGATTATGTAGAATATATAACTCTATAGGCAGATACAGCTCAGTGGTAGTTCATGTGCCAGGAATACAGGAGACCCCCAGGTTCAATTCCTAGCACCACACTATTACACTATTTTATCCAACAGGGATCTTGTCTATATCCCATACAGATGATCAAATGTTATAGTATTTGAAACAATTAGGTCATATAATAAAATGAAAAGCATGTCAAACATACTTACCAAATTGCATGCCCCAATCTCCAATGTAATTTATTCTTGTTACTTGATGCCCTAAAGCTTCTTTTAGATTTGCTATAAAATTTCCTAGAAGCAAATACATATATAATCGTAATTTTTAAGTCCATTTTGGCTTTAAAACTATGTTCTTCTCTATTACCAAGTTATAACATAGAAAGCCCTTTTAACAAAACATACCAACTCAATGTTTTTCACTAAAGCATTCATGATGTGTTACTTGTGTGAGGACATGAAGTAAGGAATTACTTAGTGAGTCGTTATTTCAAAGGTTCCCATAATATTCACAGAAATAGAACTCTTATCAGCATCATTGTTGGTAGTTAGAAACACATGTTAGAATAATAACTACTCAGGGCTGGAGGAATGGCTCAATGGATAAGAGCACCAGCTGCTCTTCCAGAGGTCCTGAGTTCAAGTCCCAGCAACCACATGGTGGCTCACAACCATCATAGTTGAATCTAAAACTCTCTTACATACATGCAGATAGAGTATTCATACATAAAATAAATAAATACAATCTTAAAAACAAAACAAGAGCGACTATCCTGAGTGAGGTATCCCAGACCCAAAAAGATGAACATGGGATGTACTCACTCATAATTGGTTTCTAGCCATAAATAAGGGTCACGGAGTCTACAATAGGTGAATCTAAAGAAGAGGAAGTAAGAAGGGGAACCCAAGGAAAAACATATAGTTATCCTCTTGGCTAAGGGAAGTAGACAAAATTGACGGGGAGAAAATTGGGATCTTGGGGGTGGGGTGGGATGGGGGTAAGGGGAGATGGGGAGAGAAAAGTTAGAAGGGAAGGAGGGGGGGCCTTGGGAAAACAGGAGGATTGGGATAAAGGAAGGTTGGACAGGGGAGCACGGAACCACAATTCTTAGTTAAGGGAGCCACTTTAGGGTTGGCAAGAGACCTGACCCTAGAGGGGCTCCCAGGTGCCCAAGCTGAGGTCCCCAGTTAGTTCCTCGGGCAGTTGAGGATAGGGAACCTGAAATGACCGTATCCTAGAGCAATACTGACGAATATCTTGCATATCATCATAGAACCTTCATCTGGTGATGGATGGAGATAGAGACAGAGACCCACACTGGAGCACTGGACTGAGCTCCCAAGGTCCCAATGAGGAGCAGAAGGAGGGAGAACATGAGCAAAGAAGTCGGGACCACGAGGGATGCACCCACCCACTGAGACAGTGGAGCTGATCTATTGAGAGCTCACCAAGACCAGCTGGACTGTGACTGAAAAAGCATGGGATAAAACTGGACTCTCTGAACATGGCGAACTATGAGGGCTGATGAGACGCAAAGGACAATGGCACGGGGGTTTGATCCTACGTAATGTGATGGCTTTGTGGGAGCCTAGCCAGTTTGGATGTTCACCTTCCTAGATATGGACGGAAGTGGGAGGTCCTAGGTCTTACCACAGGGCAGAAAACCCTGAATGCTCTTTGGACTGGAGAAGGAGGGGGAAAGGAGTGGGGGGAGGGGGAGAAGGGTGGGAGGAGGGGGCGTAGGGTGGGATGAGGGTGAGGGAAATGGGAGGCTGGGAGCAGGTGGAAACTTTTTTTTTCTTTTCTCCTTTTCTCAATAAAAATATATATATATAAAAAAACAAAAAAACAAAACAAGAATAATAATAACTACTCAGTTAATTCCAAGGAATATAGCACTTAGGGAACTAGAGAAATGGCCCAGTGGTTAAGGTTACTTGCTATTCTTCCAGAAGGTCCAAGTTTGGTTCCAAACACTCATATCAGGAGCTCACAACTACCTGTACCTCCAGCTCCAGGGGATCTGATGCCCTCATTTGGCCTCCAAAGGCACCTGCACTTGCATTCACATGCACACAAACACACCCACCTAGCCTCAGCCTCTGTAGGAACCTGCACTTATATACATATGTGTACACACACACACATACACACACACCCTCAGCCTCTGTAGGCACCTGCAGTTAAATAGACATGTGTATATACAAACACACACACACTCAGTCTCTGTAGGTACCTGCACTTACATACACGTGCACACACATTCAGTCTTTGCAGGCACCTGTACTTGCATACACATGTGTACACACACACACACACACACACACACACTCAGTTTCTGTACGTACCTGTACTTGCATACACATGCACACACACTCAGTCTTTGTAGGCACCTACACTTACAGACACAAGTGTACACAGACACGCACACTCAGCCTCTGCAGGTACCTGCACTTACACACGCGTACACACGCACACACACACTCTGCAGGCACCTACACTCATCTGTGTCTACCCCACCCTTTTCTAACTAGCTCAGATATCTTCCAAGCACTACCGTGAGTCCTCCACAAGACTGTTCCCCAAGAGCACACACTGCTCCACAGCCTGTACTTCCATGTTCTGCTGATGCAAGTCTGATGTTCAGTATCTATCTGTCTTCATACACTGTAAAATCTAAAATATCGACATCCCCATTTCCCAGAGTCCTTTGTAGTTAGGGTTCCAGAAATCTAGGTTGAGACAGTTTGCATGAGATTTGGCAAAGGAGATACTTCTGGCTGTTTTGTTTGGCCGTGACAAGCAGTTATGCAACTTTGGGGCATTTGTTTTTTCTTCCCTCTCTTCAGTGGCACCTGCTAATACAGATTCTAGTACTGTGCCATAACTTCCAAAACAAGACGAAAGACAGGACATGGTGTGACCTCTTTGCCCATAATGGGTTGCAGAAGACACGGCATGAACAGTGGCAGTTTCCAGACTATGGCAGTGGTCCCAGAGCATGGATGCAATGGTAGAAGAGGCAGACCCTCCCTTGGTAACTGAACTCTGGGAATGTTTTGGGAGTTGTTCTTGTTGCTCAATTAAAAACATCTATAGTTCTCCAATAACTTTGCAAACCATTCTATTTTTTATAATAAATCATTTCCTGATTTAAATACAGTGGCTTGCTGGCAAACAGTTGTAATCCTACCTAGCTCTTGGGAGTCTGAGGCAAGATTGCCAAAAGTTCAAGCTTAGTCTGGGCTATATAGTAGTTCTAGGTCAACTTAGGCTACAAATAAGACCCTGTAACAAATCAATAAGACTAAAAAAAGCCTAACTTGAATTACAAGCATCTCTGTTTGCACACCTTCCAAATCTATACAGCCCCAGCAGGAAACTTACCTTCTTCGGCTGCTACTAATATTGTATATCTATTTTTCTTAGTACACTGTCAGCTCACAAGTACACCTGAATATATCTGTATGGTTCAGAAATGGACAATTTCAAATCCTAGCTACAAATACTTTATCCATATGATCTTGAGAAAGTTACTTCTGCTCGAATTTCTTCCTCATAAATCTTAGTAGTACTTACCGAGCAGGGCTGTTGTGACTTAAATGGGAAAAATCTACACTAAATGGTATAAACTGTCCCGTGCTGTTCGAGCTCACTGAGAAGCTGTCTCCACCCCCACTTCAGATCCAAGCATGCCACCCCTTTGATTGAGAGTGGGCTGTTCCTCTACCTCTGTAACATGGAGGGAAGAACCCTGTCCTTGCAAAGAGCTGGAATATAAGCCATTTCCATCGGAGGTCTACCCTATGACATAAAAGCACTTAAAGAAGGGGAAGTTGAAGGTTTAGCCACAGGAAACTCAGCTGACTGCCTCCATGTCCCGCACTGGTTCTGCTGAAGCTGTTGAGTGTCTGATACGTTATCCTTGGCTGTCGCTGCTTGTTCTTACACTGGGAAGTCTCACCCGAGGAAGCTCGCTCAACTGGGAACTCTACTAGCTGGCTGTCTAAAAAGGATTTCCCAGTTGGTTTCTGCCAAATGTTTTGAGCACCTGATTGGACCATTATTTTGGTTTTCTGCTTTTTTTCTCCATCTCCCTACCTACTTTTCTCTTTCTCTCTCTGCCTTGCTGTTTACTCTTTTACTTGCTATATACTTAATAAATAAATATTCATTCAAAAACTAAAACTATGGCTATTGAAGGATATTTTCTAGACTCTGGACTGCACAGACCAACGAATTAGCACATATAAACACTTAGTTCACTAAATTTCAATAAATATTCTTTCCTCCCGATACTTTATCATACCCTACTTACCCATTTACTCTTTTTGACTCCATTCAATGTAGATTTTGTTATACGACAGATTTCCTAGATACTTTTGGTTACGTCCTGTTATTTTTTTTCCCATAAAATACTCCTCAAAGACTTTCTAACCATGAAAGCTTTCTTATTTCAACAATAATCTGCCACTCATACAATTTTCCAATGTTGAAATCTATCACAGTAGCATCTAAATGGCTTATTCTTGAGCACACATCATAGATTTCTAACCTGGAATAAACTCCAAGTCTAATATTGCACAATCCTAAATTGAGTTTTGAATTGCAGTACTGCAAAGTATTTTAAATAAATAAAGAGCAGGACTTGAGAGGGCTCAGTGGTTAAAGAGTGTTTGCTATGTTGGCTGCTCTAGTCAGCACTAGAGTTCAGTTCTCCACACTCATGCCTGTAACTCCAACTCCAGGGCACCTGACCCCCTCTTCTGAACTCAGTAGGCAGTTCCCACACCCATATACACAAGCGTGCGCACACACACACTTCAAAAAAGCATATTATACATGAAAGCTTTATAATTATAAAGTAGTTCCAGTATTTCTAAAGTAAATAATTTCTATTAAAACCTTTAGTTTCCAGTCTTGAAAATTACAGTTGTAGGAACAAAAAAATATGAAAGATTTCTGCCAACCCACAGAAATAATTTGTGACTATTTTTTATTTTTGCCTCTTTCAGTTTTCCGTATATCTAAGTTACAACCATAACATACACACCAATGAAAACTGACTTCAGCCTTTACCTTTTGAAATAAATTTTGGTTTTTAACATGTAAACCAATTTTTCAATTTAGTGCAACATTTACTCAGCATCATGCTTATGTAATCTACATTGTGGGGAGCCTTTTCTTCCCTTTTCACTTAAACTCTGAACCATTACATTGCATTATCATGTATGTCTCCTAGACACGTTTAGTACTGTCTGTTAAAGGGAACACTTACCTATGATGGTGGAGCGCAAATGGCCAACATGAAATTTTTTTGCAACATTAGGTGAACTGCAAAAATTGCAAGAATATTTTCTTATTCCAATAACAAAAATTTTGAACATGAACTAGATGATAATGCTTCTTTGGGGTGACAAAATTAGGGAGCAGGGCTTTTGACAATTCAGAAGGTAGGTTAGACATCAGAATTAACAGTAAGGATAAATTAGAATTTGGAAAGAATCAAACCTATCATTAACCAATAATCATTGATCCTGTGATCTATAAAGTAGTACAACACTCAGAAATGGCACATGTATGAAACTATTTTGAGACAAGGAAGAAAGTGCTGGAGAGATGGCTCAGCAGGGAATGGTGTTTACTGACAGGACCGACAAACTGACAAAACGTTCCTTGAAATCATTAATCTGACATTTTCTGGAACTAATTCCCTACTAAGAAAAGAATCCTATAAGACGAAAAGGCAAATTCAATTCCTTTGGCAACCAAAATAACCACAATGGAATTACAATTGGATACCTTACTTTTGTAAACTATTTAATGTAATCTCCTAAATCTTATGAGGACACATGATTTTTTTTTAAAAGAGTGTTGTGATTTGAATAAGAAATGTCCCCCATAGGCTCAAAATGCTGAGTCCTTGGTCCCAAGCTGGTGTTGCTATTAGAGAATTTGCAGGAGGTGGTCATTGGCTACCCATCCAGTTCAAGGCCAATGTGGAGGTCCTGCTAAAAACAAGGAGAGGAGAAACAGACTGGAGACGTAAGCATCTAATTTTATCCTTTTTATTCCTGGCTTAGTGGCTGATTGACTGTGATCCTTACAAAGTAACACAATGTCATGGACTCTCAACTTTCCACTGTCGTGGAAAGAGAACTCGACCCCGAGGTATGAGCCTCTCTGCCCCATCAGCTGGCTCATCACCACATAACTGGAGTACTCACCTGAATTCCACCACAATCCTCTTCAGGGGCAGACCCGAGAAAAGCTCACTTTTTAATCCATACTTTGAGCCGTCCTCAGTTACTTGCTGTAGCACCGCCTGAAGAACAGAAGGGTGGGGTTTAGTGGTGAAAAGAATGTCCTTAACTACTGCGTTCCTGGAGATTAAATGTTGCTAACTTCTTCACTCTAACTTCAGAGCCCAGAATTTTACAGCACTGTCAGCAGCACCTGCTCTGGAACCAACAGCACTTGTTGCCAGTTTCTCTGAGGGCACTTACAATGTGAGCTAATAATGAAGGGGCTACTCGGGGCCCATAAATCTCATCTATTCATTATTACAGTAACTACGAATGATACTGAGGGATCAGGACATTGAAGCTTCGTGAGATAAGGTTAACTGCCAAAGGTCCAACGGAAATAGTAATAGCACAGCCAGAAGCAGTATCTGATCAGTTATTGAGTGCAAATGATGTTACAAAGACTGGGATGAGGAGTTTACATTTATTAACTCAGTTAATCTTCATACGGCTTCAGAGATGAGTACTATGCTCACAAACAAGGAAGGCAAGGCAAGGAGATTAATTTTCCTAAGGTCATAACAGCTCAGTTGATAACAGCAGTTTCCTTGCCTGTATAAATCTGTGTTCCAACCCTAGCACTGCATAATCCTGGTGTGCTGGCTCAGGCCTATAAACCGGACACTCAGGAGGTGGAGGCAAGAAGATCAGACGTTCAAGGTCATCACTGGCTACATATCCAGTTCAAGACCAGCCTGGGATACAGGAGACATGAAGTCAAATAGCAGAAATTCTCCCAATCAAGCGACTATGTTAATTAGAGACTGCACGTGTTTGATCAAGATGATCTTGACTTAAAGGTTTCATGTAATCACGTATTCAGGGTCACCTGTTCTCCGATGTACTAGCTTGAGAGAGAGTCAGTTCCTTTGCAAGGTTTCTCCAACACCTCTGGCCCATCCCGACTTCAGCATCTGAATTTTTTTATTCTTACTGTATTAAAAACCTTTTAACTTTACTACTTACTGTTTTATTAAAAGAAAAAGCTATCCCATGGTTTCTCCAGTTTAAGTCTTACGTTTCCAACAGATTATAGAATAGCAGGGAGTAGAAACCAACACACTTTCACTACAGAGCACATTTATCAACAAACAGTATTTATCTAGAATCTATGATGCACCAGGCATTATGGCAAAACATAGAAACAGGACAGTGGGAAAGACAGACGCTAAACCCCAAAGTGAAATAAGAGTTGACAAGCGGCACCAGACAAATAAATGGAATGTGAGGTGCACCTTCAACCTGAGCACCCAGGAGGCAGAGGCAGAGGCAGAGGCAGAGGCAGAGGCAGAGGCAGAGGCAGAGGCAGAGGCAGGAGGACCTCTCTGCATTCGAGGACAGTCTGGTCTACAGAGTGAGTTCCAGGACAGCTAGAATTGCTACTCAAAGAAACCCTGTCTTGAAAAACCAAACAAAGAAGAAAAAGATGGCATGTAAAATAGCAAGGTGCTTTCTGCAAGAAGAGATTAACAGTGCTACAACAGCCCACAGTGAGAAGATCAGGAAGAGACTGTCAAGGGCTAGGGAACCCACTGTGACTAAGTGGTAAAGTGCTTGCTTAAGCATATGAAAAGCCCTGGATTTAAACACTGGAAATACCACCCCCCCCCAAAAAAAAAAGAGGGAGGAAGAAAGATTAACTTCTACTGCACTGCAGACCGAGGAATCCTGTGCACAGGTTCTGAGGTGGTGTCTGAGAGCTGGGAGAGCAGTGTGGCTAAACAGCGTGAAAGGAAACTAATCCACAAAGACCAGACTATAATCCACTCTTACCTTTGTTAGTAATTCTCTGTTTATTTTGAAATTCAGCGTTCCTGGACCAGCACTGATGGCAGTTACCACCGAATCACATTTAAGCTGAAAAATAACAAACCATGTAAAGCAGATTATATTGTAGAACAGACCTAATGAGATCAGTAGCTCTGACACCATAAACATGGTTTACAAGACAGCAGGTGAATCAGTTCTCAGGCATTAGAGCCAGACCAGGGTCTTAGCCAAGGTCTTCTGTTCCAAAATCCTATTTATACAAACACATTTTCTTTTTCCTCACTAGAATGCTATTCAGTCTCCCCCTTCCCTTTTCTCTTTCCTTTACCTCAAATTTCTCCATCTATCATACAGTGAACACTATCTTATCTTTCAAGACAGCCACAAACAGGACATTGTGTCGGACCTACTGCCAACGCACTTGCACAAGCACAGAATGAAGCCTCTTACAGAGTCTACTTTTCCTGCATGTGTCCATTCAAACCCTCTGACAGACTTATGGCACTAAAGATGCCTGCTGTCACTGAAGAGCAATCAGTCTTTATTTCTGAAATTTAAAAGATAGATTAATTCTACTCCTGGTATCAGAACTTAATATCAGGTATTATCCGTATTAATAAAAGAACAGAAGTGACCTTGTTACCAAATAACTATTATTCTGTTACCAAAGCTCCTTTCGCCGTCATTTTTAGTTATATTTTTTTTTCCAATAGTGACTTTCACTGTTTCAGTTTTTTTTTTTTCGAGTTCCTTGACATCATCTTTGAGCAATATATGTCCCTATTAAAAACTTAGGAACAAACGAAAGCTTTCTCAACATGCTTTGTGTAAAGATCTGAAGCTAACAGTTTAGATTTGGTCATTCACTACAACCTTTCCAATTCCTCTGTTTTACTAGACCCACGATAAAGGACTTAGAAATACAGAGTTTATGAAATCATCCAACTACAACTTCTCTGCGATCATCCCATTCACTCCACATACATTTTTTCTTCTCATATTTTTAATGCTCTTCTTAGAAGCTCATTTCAAAGAATTGCAACCTACTGCTCTAATATATCAAGTTTGTTTTTCTACATTCAAGCACTTATCCAGGGGGCTGGGGAGACTGTCAGATGTTAAGAGTGCTCAGTGGATGCTCTTGAGAGGACCTGGGTTCTAGTCCTTGTAGTCACAACTGTTTGTCACTCCCTGTTTGTCACTCCAGTTGCAGGGGAATAAATAAATCTGCCTTTAAAAGTTTTTACAGTTTCAGGACTAGAGAGAAAGCTGAGTGGCTAAGAGCACTGGCTGATCTTTCAGAGGTCCTGAGTTCAATTCCCAGCATAGTGGCTCACAATCATCTATAATGACATCTGGCGCCCTCTTCTGGCTGGCAGGTTACATGCAGGGAGAACACTGTATACATAATAAATAAATCTTTTTTAAAAGTTTAAACAGTTTCAATCCATAAATTATAAATTAACACTTCAGCCCCATGGCTAATAAAAAAATAAAACAAAGCAAAACACCAGCTAAACAATGTTAGCTCAGGAGTGTGCTAATCAGTTTTCACTGTCAACCTGATATCAACCTAGTCACCAGGGAGAAAGGAACCTCACTGAATGGGCTCAATCAGATTGTCCAGATTGCCCCAGGGTGTACATGAGAAATTTTCTTGACTGGTGACTGATGTGGGAGGGTCTAGCCCACTGGAGGTGGTACCATCCCTGGGTAAATGGGCCTCAGTTGTATAAACCCGCAAGCTAATCAAGAGCCAGAGAGAGCAAAACAGCAAGCAGCATTCCTTCCTGGCATCTGCATCAGTTCCTGCATAAGGTTCTGTCTTGAGTTTCTTCAATGATGGACTGTTACCTAGGCAAACAAGCCCTTTCCTCCCCAAGTCATTTCTGGTCAATGTTTATCACAACAGAAAGAAACTACAACAAAAGAGATATTTTACAGCTGATGTGAAAGATCACAGAAACCTCCCAGCTAAAATGAAGTGAACGGTCCTGCAAGCTGCCTTGAACAGAGAAACGTGAGTGCAGCCTGTGAGCTGTGCTCTCCTCCAGTGCTCAGTCCAGTACAACACAGAGGTGAAATACCTTCTCTGCCAGTCTCCTGGCTTGATCTTGAGCATCGAGTTGTGACTGCGGATTGTTGTCTTCTAGCAAGGAATCCACAGAAAGCTGGAAGTCTGCCACTTCTCTAAAGATGAACGTTGAAATGGGAAAGAGCTGTTAGAAAAACATCACTTGTCTAGAGGAGAGTCATCACTGGATTATGAAAACCTTCAAAACTGAAAGTCAAGAAATACAAAACTTTGTTTTTACTTATAACTTTTAAAATCTTGGTTATTTTATACAATTCTTGCATATTACCTGAAACAGACAGATATCTGGCAAGTTAAATGCAACTAGGAAGCAGCTTCAGAAAAGACTGAGTTGACGTCCGCTATAAAGCTGCTTCTCCTACTAAGTGCTTCTTTATAACTGTCCAAATAACAAGAGCAAAAATGTTTTTTTAAATGGTTGTAATTTAAGTTTTGAAGAGTTCAAGAATAAGAATATAGAAATACAGATTCCAGAAATAAAGAAGTGGGAGAATGAGATCAGGCTGTCAGCAGCTTTCTCATCAGCTTAAGGATTAACTATTAACAGTGGGTTACTTTACAAATGATAGGTGTCTGCAAGACTGAAGCCGCCCTCAGCTTTTAGATACCCCCCAACCACTCATGCCAGCAACTGACCTGAGCTAACTTTTAAATGACGGGATGTACATGACTTTTCGGTTATGCATTGTCCCTGCTATGGGAATTGGCTGAGGGAGTGCAGAGCTTCTGTAAACACCATCAGGGAGGGCCAGGGAGAAACAAAGACCTAAAACGCAAACACTAGTCTAACTACAAACTCTGTTAATGAAAACTGCAAAGAAGGGCAACTTGTATCTAGGTTTTACTTTAAGATTGCAAATATTCTTTTGTTACTGTCTAATGCTTGCTATAACCTTCCTTTGCCACAACCTTATAAGTCCATCTCTGGTTGTGGTCTCAGCTAGATGATAAGCTTTTGTGTCGGGTGGAGATTGGTTGTTTTTTTTTTTTTTAAATTTGCTTCTGGCTTAACAGACTCTGGTGGTCTGTCTCCCATCTTTGTGCGACCCCCTCCCCATACCCAACAGTTTCAGCATGACAAAAATGTTATTTATAACACTGAGTTGTTCACTAGAGACATGGACACAGCTATTGGTACTTTCCACTAAACTATTAAAAGCTTCAGTGGAACCAGCTAAAGGAACAGTCAGTTACATGACTACAGAAGCTATTTGCAAGTAAGGAGGGTAACAGAATCAAAAAAATATATCCAGTCACAACAGTATTTGCAGTCTCATTGAGAAAAACAAAACAAAATCAACTACCCCTACCGTATAAGCCGAGAGAGAGAGAGAGAGAGAGAGAGAGAGAGAGAGAGAGAGAGAAACAGAGAGAGACAGAGAGACAGAGAGGACTTGAATTTGGAAAAAAGGCTTGACAGTTTAGATGGTTACCACACTGAAAGTGGCTCATCTGGACAGGTGGTGGTGTTGCATGCCTTTAATCCCAGCACTCGTAAGGCAGGGGCAGGCAGATCTCTGTGAGTCTGAGAACAGTCTGGTCTACAAAAACTAGTTCCAGGACAGCTAGGGCTGTTACACAGAGAAACCCTGTCTTGAATTTCAAAAACCAAACCAAACCAAAACAACCCTCACCCAAAAGAACAAACAAAAAAAGTGGCTCATCATATTGTCTCTATAGAATCTTTTGTAGATGTGATAATTTAAGTTAGACATTATTAATATACAAATAACTGCACAACTACAGATACTGACATCTTCTGATGGTCAACAGAGAAACGGAAGAGAGTTAAGTGAGTTATACCATGGTTTGTCCAGCCCACGTCACTCACTTAAAGGAATATATTCTGGAAGGATACAGGTGACTTCTTTCATGTCCCTCATCATGCAGCTTGAAATGCCTGAAAATTCCTGTATGGCTTCTGTGTAAACATCACATTACAGAGCCTAAACTCTAATGGACACCAACATGTTTCCTGGGAAGTGTGCACAAAATAACCAACCCTAACCAAGAAGTTATATGCAACTGATGCCTGCTGTTATGATTTCAGCCACAATAAGGCTGACACTTCCGGGTTCTAGGGCCATGCTTGTGAGGACAAGCGCTCAGGCAGAAGTGCCTAATGGTCTGTCTCTCTCTCTGCACACTGACCTTCACCAGGCCTGTACCCCCCACCATAAACTCCTAAGCGGGTTTGTTGTGTGTTCCTTCTCACTCACGCCAAGTAATCACACCTGTTGGGTAATTTCACCAATGGGATGTCCCTAAATACATCAACCACACTACAGAGGAGGCCAGTAGTTTGCCAACACAAAACGGACTCTGATTTTTTGTGAGCTTTTAATTTCCTTTTGGTACTCTTGGTCTTATTAGACTTTTTTGTTTGATTTTTGGTTTGCTTTTTGTATTTATTGTTTTTTAAAGACAGATGGGAAATAATATGAAATTGGGCTAGTAGGTGTGAGGACCTGAAACTTGGGCATAACAGGGAAATGGAAAGGACTTGGGAGGAGCTGGGTAGGAGAAAGAATATTATCAAAATATATTATATGCAGTCTGCTGGAGACCTGTTTCAGCACAGGTTAAGGTCCCAATGAGATGTGGGGGTGGATGGGGGGACAACACGACATGGGACGGTCAGGATGAGGTGGGGGACAACACAATCAGGGTGAATCAGGATGGCTGCCAGTGCATTTAATGGGATAAAAAAAAAAAAGACTGCATACTCGGCTGCATGCAGATTTAAATGGGAGAGAAGGGACTAGTGAGGTGGGGTGTGGCTTGAGATCAGGGGTCGAGGAATCTAGCCCTGACCTTGGTAATAGGCACCAGCCACAGCAGAGTTCCTCTTCCAGAGATAAGGAGAACGACTGCTTTAGCAAGCAGGAACTTGCTCAAGCCCTTTGAGGAGGGAGGCCTTATTCAAATGCGAGTCCTTGGGAAAGGACTTCTGGGGACCAGATGCTGTACTACAATTTGAGAGCAATTTTCATTCCTCAAAGAGGATAAGCACTGAGCTGTTCCCTAACTGTGTTCCTTTCTGTCTCAGTCTTACTCACGTGCTCCCCTAAGGGAAGGCCTGATGTCTTCCTCTTTCCCCATTATATTGCACCATTCCACACTCACTAACTGAACTCTAGCCCTTAACAGCCTCGGGTGTTTCACCTTGGGATCAGGTGTGTCTAGTAAATCTCTAACTTTAGGAGGGCACAATGGAATTATTGGTTCTGCAGCAGCTAGAATTATTTTTGTTTAGAGAGGCTACCATTGTACACATTTTCATCCTTTACCAAAGCCCGCACAAAATTTCCAAAGGGAAAGGCATTAATAGTGCGAATCACTAAAAACTAAAGCCAAAAGGTGTTGGAGAAGCATGGTCTGCAATGCTGAAATGCTGGAACTTTGTTTAGCAGCGATGGTCGCCATGCGGTCCATGCCAGCAATCCCAATATGTCTACAAGATACTACCGAACCTAAGGCTCAGGGAACACTGCAGAAGATGGGGCGAAAAGACTGTAAGAACCAGAGGGTCAGGGAAGCCCTGTGCTGTGAGACTGTGTCTCCTACTAATGCCAGAAGCTACACCCACAAAGTCTCAGCATTGACTATCCAAACATGAGCTGAATAGGGAGGGCACTAATGGACACGACAAACTGGACTGAGAAAGCCCATGAGGCCTCAACCCTACAGAAAGAACTGTAGGCAACCGAGGAAAGCTTGGAGCAGGAGAGGTGGCCTTCCCTGGGGAAGAGTGTCCAATGCATACCAGTAAGCCCCAAAACAGACATACAGGTAGCATTAACCACTTAACAGGTTATATTTAAAAATATTTATGAATATACAGACTGAACAGGTAATAATTATTTAGGAATAATATGTATACACCTACACTTATTTACATGCAATAACAGTAAAAGAAAGGGGGGCGTGATATTGAAGGAGAGCAGGGAGGGAAATATGGGAAGATTTGGAAGGAGGAAGGGGAAAGGAGAAATACTGTAACCAAATTATATTCTAAAAAATACAGCAAAGTAAAAGAATGTATTATATGAAAACCTAATGAAATTTCCTGAGTCTTTTTGTTAGTTTTTTGTTTTCTTGGCTATCCTACAACTAGTGAGCTACACTGCCTTGCAATTTCCAGGATAACAGAATCAAAGAAATATATCCAGTCACAACAGTATTTGCAGTCTCATTGAGAAAACAAAACAAAATCAACTACCCCTGCCATACATACGGGGGGGGGGGGGGGGACTTGAATTTGGAAAAAAGGCTTGACAGTTTAGATGGTTACCAAACTGAAAGTGGCTCATCTACCAGGTGGCGGTAGTGCCAGGTAGCGCATGCCTTTAATCCCTGCACTTGGGAGGCAGAGGTAGGCAGATCTCTGTGAGTTTGAAGACAGCCTGGTCTACAAAAACTTAGCATGGAATCTACTTATCAATCCAAACTGATATCTAACCTATAAAACCACACAAGTTCACCTACCAGTTAATGTCTGTGTAATTCCAGACACATTGCTCAATCTCTTGGAACCTCAGTAAAATGATGATAACAAGTATCTACTTTACAGGGCTATTGAGAAACGACATCTCAGTTATAAATTATGCTAGTCACAGATCTGATGCTAAATAACACATCAAATACTGGCAACGCTAACATTGTGGGGAAGTTTTTCCTTGTCCTGTTTATACTAAAATAGCTGGGAAATTATGCTCATTTCTTTTCTAAGATTATTTTTTATGAAAATGAAAATTTTCTGAAAATGAAATTTAATTGTAGAAATTCATTTAAGGTTTAAATGTACTTATTGTATTCTTCCTTAGCAAAGGATTTTAATAACTTAGTCAAATATTTGAACCAATATATGGGCAACCAAAGAAATTAGTTTAGCAAAATAGGAATAAAACACAAAGCATGATACAAACAACAAAGACTTTTTTTTAAAATATTTATTTATTATGTATACAATATTCTGTCTGTGTGTCTGCCTGCAGGCCAGAAGAGGGCACCAGACCTCATTACAGATGGTTGTGAGCCACCATGTGGTTGCCGGGAATTGAACTCAGGACCTTTGGAAGAGCAGGCAATGCTCTTAACCACTGAGCCATCTCTCCAGCCCCAACAAAGACTTTTAAAAGTCAAAAAATAAAGTAAAACTAGAAGTAATAGGAGCTCTAATATTATTGTGATGACAGGGATTTGAATATATCAAAGACCAAATTGCAGCTTTTTGATACAGAGCTAGGATTCTTTATAAAAGATTTAATATGAACACAGTCTTACAGCATGGTTCTCAAACACCTAGGAAGACTCAAAGAAATAACCATAAATTGCTAAATATAGATTCTAAATTTTATAAATAGTAAGACATCTGCAATTTTATTTTTAACATGGAAACTTATATTAATCTAACGGAGTCACAAATATTTCTAATATTTGTGGCAGAGGATGAAAAGCTAAATCACTCTTCTAGTCTATTACAATGCTTAAAACTAACTTACTGCTAAGACCACTGAAAACAATGACAATGGGGATGATTAGCAAACAGGCGTCTTTCTTCTTCTCCCTCCTCCTTCCATCTTTTTTTCTTTTCTTTCTTTCTTTCTTTTTTTGGTTGTTCAAGACAGGGTTTCTCTGTGTAACAGCCCTGGCTGTCCTGGAATTCACTAGGTAGGTCAGGCCTTGAACTCACAGAGATTCAACTGCCTCTGACTTGTTTGCTGGGAATAAAGGCATGCATCGCTCCATCCAGCCCTACTTTCATTTTTTTCCAAAGCTAAAAATAGTAACTGTATGGGCACTCTTTAGTCTTTGCCTTCTCTTCCTCCTCATGAAGAGAACATTCGCCCCCTCACGTGAAAGTTCTAATAAAATTCAGACAACAAAGGGTAAACTGACACTGAGAATTTCCTATTCCATCTTTAAACCCTTAGAGCTAGGAATGTACTGTGTGGCAGGCGTCTTGAACTAACTGAGAGAGCACAGCCCTCCTTTGGTGATTGACTGTAAGACGTCTAGAGATCCACGATCTGCGGAAGCTCAAGGCCTCTTGCACACAGTATGTGCGATTTCCACGTATCCTCCACATACCCTCTGTATACTGTAAATTATCTTTATATTCCTCTAATCCTTGTTACAAGGTAAATGCTATAGAAGTAGTTGTTATTAGTGTATTGTCTGAGATAATATGAAATAAACTTTTTCATGTTAGTGCAGATGCAATTTCTTTGCTTTGAACATGTTTGTCCCTGCAGCCCAGGGCTATACACTCATGGATAGACTACATTCTATTAAAGCACTGAAGATTTTAGCAAAACACTAAGTTAACAGTAGGATGACCACACTAATAAGGAAACAAAACATTTCCCTGTACCTAAGAAAACAACATAGATTTTTACATAGCCCTAACCAACAGTTCTCTATTGCTTGGGAGTCTTCAAATAAAACCTCAAACAAAAACCGAACTGGGAGATAAACATGGTACAATAGTATTCAAGCATCAGATGATTATACAAGTTTCAATAATCCTTCAAAAGCTCTGAGATTATAACCATATTGTCATTCTCTTATTGTTAAACAAATTGGAATCTCCTTCCTAAAGACTGACATAATTGTTAGCAAAACCAAACATGAAAATAATTAACAAAGGAATATCACATTCACCATAGATACCTAAATAGAACTATAAATTTATAATATCAATTATAACAAGTTGAATATAATGAATCATAACTTTAAGGTTTATTCTGTAAATTGAAGGGATAAGTAAAATTTCAGATCATCGCAAGTATACTTAACTCTTTTTTTGAAACTGGAACTGCAGATATTGACTTGATCAAGCTTTCTGGTGGAAGGGCCAAGACTCTGGAAAGCTAAAAGTAAAAAAGAACAGGATAAAATTGTTGCTGTATCTATTCCAGAGTGAATGGACTACTACTAGCAATAAAAGAAATGTCATTAACACACTGAACATAAATGAACCTCAAATACATGATGTGAAACCTATATTAAAGGTTTGGAAACATAAAACTATCAGACTGAGGTTAAGATTTCTGAGTGTCGGGGGTTGAGTAAAACATAAGGGTTTGACTATTAAGTAGCAAGCAGGACTACTTGTCTTTCAATGAATTTTATGTTTGCCAGTTTAAAAAAATTGAAAGAAATATACAAAAAAGATACAAATCACTGAAAATCCAAAACTATTTTCCATTAAAACAATATTTATTGAGTAGCTAATGTGTACCAGACAGTATTCTAGGCATTGATACTATAACAATGAACAAAACAGAAAAAAAAATTATGGCACTTAGTAGATAAACAAGTAAATATTAGGGAAAAATCTGATCCCCATGCCTGAGCCCCATAAAAGATTTACCCATCAGAACATCAGGAGTAAAGAAACAAAACAAAAATCAAAGCAAAGGCCATAGGCTCACACAGCCGTGAAGCACCAGCTACTTGCCCTGTTAGTATGCATGAAGCCCAGGATTGCTCCTTAGTGCAAAAATAATAAGTAGAAACAGGTGCATCTTTGTTCGTAAGGAACTTCTTTCATGGTTATGCTGTTTGGTGGTATAGGCATTTCCATGTTCATAATAATCCTGTGACAGGCACATAGGACTTGGCGATTCCTAGGGCGTGTGGCGTACAAGAGAGGAAGAACTTTGTGAAGCAGAGACCATGACAGAAAACCACAACGGGTCAAAATGCAGTGGTAGAGACAAGCCTCCTAACTTCGGTGCAAGCAATCTGTTTGAGAGATGACTTCTGGGAACTAGATGTTGCACCAAGAAGAGCGAGGAAGGAGAAGAGTTTACAGAAGATTGCACCAACGAGGATGGAACGAGGCTCAATTGGCAAAGCGCTTGTCCTGAACGCACAGGGAGCTGAGCTTGGAACCCTAACTTAACTCTTGTAAGAGCTGAGCCTGGTAACAGACCTGCAACCTCCAGGGCTGGCGCTGTGGAGAGATGAGGTATTAGGGATGAGGAAGAAAAGGGACTAAAGCTGGGTATGAAATAACCAAGTAGATCAAATAAGGAGGAAGGGGGAGGGGAAATATGATAAAAATACACGGCATGTTTTTTTTTGCATAAAAAAAGGAGGAGCATAGGGCTATGTGCTAGTATCAGCAAGCCAGTTGGCTTTCTTGAGGAACATATGTAAGACATTGTTGCCCATGCATAGGAACTAAATTGTACCTATTTTTGGAAGGAGACCACTCCGGACTGCCCCACAGACAAGGAGTTCTGGTACAGGTAACCAAGAAAAACTGCAGCTACACCTTGGTAATATGAAGGAGAATTCCTGAAAAGAAGCTGTGTCTGCAGTAGCTAAGTGATGAAATCTCCAGTGGCTGTGGAGAGTTTGGAATGTTACACATCTGAAGCCTAATCGCAATTCCTCTTGGCCACGCCCACCTTTGGACCTAATATCTGGAGACAACTACCTAGACCTAACTTCCTGGCAAACATAAAAACCTTCTAGGGTGCATTAACTTAACAAAACCCTAGCTCCCACCCAGCGAAGGGCTAAGAGGCTGTCAGACATTATCCAAGGTCTACAGAAGCGTTAACCCCATCTTGTAACTTACCTCACTAATGGTTCCACCAATATATTTCGTAAATGCTTTGACTTATAACATTCTTTTTTGTTATTATAAATACTCCATTAAACTGCTTCCATACTGGAACTATGGAAATTGGTGTACCATAAATCCATGTTCCTAGGCCACGGTTACTAAAATTTGGCTCCAGAATGAACCATCTCTTATCCCTTTACAGTTGAGAGCTGAAGATTAGCTACGACAGTAGTTAGGATCGGTGTTAATTTCCTGCCATGGTAAAACCAAAAACTGGTCACATAAAGATGAGAACAAAGAAAGCAGAGGCTAACTAAGGGCTTACAGTTCCTGCCAAGCACTAAGAAGAGCAACACCTGCAAGGCGCACAAGGCGCACTGATTAGCAGTGCCTTCCTGTGATAAAGGACAGCAAGAGTTATGGACAACAGCTGGAAAGGCAAGTCAAAGACGGAGAAAGGGGCCTTCAAAGTATGACCACTTCCCTAATTGAGCAAGTAGTGCATAACAGCCTGTGGTCATCTCCCTGGTGGGCCAGAGGGCCATGCACAGCCACTGGAGAAACCCTGATAAAACCTACCCTCCCCCCCAACTCCCATAAATAGACCCAGACTCCCCAACCCTAGATTTCTCTTCCCTCCCCTTTCCGAGGCAGAAGCTGGCCTTAGTAAAAAGCATTGTTTCATTCTCTCTGTCTCCCGTTTTTCTTGTATTTTGGTCTGTTGTCTTCCCCAGACAGTGAATTCTTTCTTTGCCTGTCCCAGACAATGAATTCAGCTCACGCCAGAATCACTATTTCACCTGAAGCTCCCTGGCTAGCCAGCCTAGCCTAGCTGAATGGGTAAACCCCAGATTCAGTTAGAAACCCTGTCTCAGAAAACGAGGTGGACGGTGCCTAAGACAAACACACCCGTCCTCTGCCCTCTCCACATGACGGAACACACAAATACAGACACACGGATTGTACATTAAAGTCATTGATATAAACAGGACTTAATGCTTAATGTCTAAGAAGCATATGCAACATCTCCAGAATTGCCCAAAACAACTCAGTCACACTGAGCCTAAGTTTGTGCAGACCTCAGGCAGGACTGGACGCTGTGAACAAATGAGGGGTACAAGTCCCTTAGCCACGCAAGTTTTTCTACACAGGCTCTGGGAATTCGAACTTTAGCACTTTTACCCAAGGAGCCATCACTGCAGCCCCTTAGCATAAATTTTTTGTTTTGTTTTTCGAGGCAGGGTTACTCTGTGTAACAGCCCTAGCTGTCCTGGAACTAGCTCTTGCAGCCCAGGCTGGCCTCGAACTCACAGAGACCCTCCTGCCTCTGCCTCCAGAGTGCTGGGATTAAAGGAGTGCACTTATACGCCTGGCCCTTATTTTATCTACTTTATTCAACGCTCTAAAATATTTTATTTAGAAACGAAATATAATACAGGGTTACTGGATGAAAGCAAATAATGACTACAAACGAAGGAGGACTAGTAATTTCGACCGGGTCTAATCACAACCCACAGACACTCCTCCCGGATTAAAGCACGACGAGCGGGACTGCCAAGACAGGGAAGCGCCCAGTGCTTTCGCGGGTCGTCCGCCTCCGCTGCTCGGGGAGAAGGCAGAGCCGGCCTAGGCTGCACCCCGCGGCCCCGGCGCCCGCGGGCTCGCCACTCGCGACTGTACCTGACAGGCGATCGACCTACGAAAGGCGCACGCCATGCCGACCCGAAGCCCGCCTCCGCACGCCCCGCCTCCGCGCCGGAAGTCGCTTGTGCTTCCGCAGGGGCGCGCGGAAGTGTTCAGTGCGCAGGCACACGGAGCGGTGGATTATGGCCACTTCCTCGGTGTCCAAGGTACGTGGGGGTGGCGCTTGCCGGTGCCTCCGCGGTGCCTCTTTGGCAAGCACGGCGAGGCGGAGGTTTGACGGGCGTTGGCTCCGGCTCCGGGAAGAGCAGAACTCAGGTCCGCGTTTGAGGCCACCTTTGCTTCGGCCAACTAGGCTGTGGCACCTAGGCTAGCCGACCGGCTGCCCCAAGACTATGTCGCGTTCCTCCCTCGCTTCCAGCTTTTTTTCCCTCAGAAGTACTTCCTGTGCGTTTAATTACCGAAATAAAGACGTAAACAGAACACCTTTCTGTAATCAGGAATATTAATAAGCAGCAGATCTTCGTATTAATAAGGGGAAAGGTTCTGAGAGAAGAGCGATGAACCAGGATTGCCAGGAGACCAGCGAAGCTTTAGAGAAAGTGACAGTTTGGCTAAGCTCTGAAAAATAAGAATCTTGGCTGGAATGTAAAGCCCTCGGGTGGGATAGCAGAATGACACGTCCTTTGCCTTAGAATATAGAAATAAAATAGCACATAGAAAAATCAGGATAACCCGAGAGTGGAGAAAGGGACATTAGGGGGGAAAAAAAAAGAACAAAAATGTAAATCAGGGGCCTGAGAGTGGTGGCTCACGCCTTTATTCCTAGCGGATCTTTCTGGTTCTAGGGCTACAGGACAGGCTCCAGAGCTATACAGAGAAACCCCGTCTCGAACACCCCCCCTCCCAAAATGTAATTCAAAAAAGTGTTCGTGTTGGGGTGTCATGGACTGCCTAGATGGCAGGGAGTGCAAATCAAAATATAGTTTATAAGAGGAGGCCCCCTAGCAGCCTGTTGCTTATTGCGTTTGAGTTAAGATAACTTAAAACTAAGTTTGCCATTAGCCCCTACCATGTTTCGATAGCACATGTATGTTAAAGCAAGTTCTACTAGACTGTGCTACTATGCCCTGTAAAGAAAGTCTTCTGTTTTAAGTACAGAGGGATACTCCTGAGTTAAACTGTCTGATAAAGCTGATAAAGTTCTGAAAGGGTTTGTGTTCGGAGTTCAGGGGTGATACTGCGCGGGATTGGCCTTCTTAAGAGGGATTTCTTAGATGTGGTATTTACACCACAGACAGGTAGGCAGACAGCATGGCAGACAGTGCGAGGAGAGTTCTGGCCCACATGGCAGAGGAAGTCCCTTCAAAGTTTTCCCAGGATGAGGGTTCTGGAGGAGATTGAAATGTTTTCTGTGTTGACCCTCAGTTCATGGTTGCTCAAAGTAACCAGTGTATGCTCAGTTCATGAATTTTAGGGGATAAATAAACACCTTCCCTCCTTGGGCACTTCTAAGGGTGTGGAACAGGGAAGAAAAGAATATTCTCTGTGTAGTCCTGGCTGTCCTGGAAGTCACTCTGTAGTCCAGGCTGGCCTCAAACTCATAGAGATCCACCTGCCACTGCCTCCTGAGTGCTGGGATTAAAGGCCTGTGCCACCACCACCTGGCTAAGAAACAAGTTACTTTAGTTCAAGAAGCCAAATTACAGTTACAGAAATTGTCACAGTTGGGGCTGGAGAGATGGCTCAGAGGTTGAGAGCATTGCCTGCTCTTCCAAAGGTCCTGAGTTCAATTCCCAGCAACCACATGGTGGCTCACAACCATCTGTAATGGGGTCTGGTGCCCGCTTCTGGCCTGCAGGCATACACACAGACAGAATATTGTATACATAATAAATAAATAAATATTAAAAAAAAATTGTCACAGTTCAACCAAAATGAAGACACTTTACAAGTGGTCCTGTCTATATCCCCCAAGTGCTGGGATTAAAGATGTGCACCACCATACCTCATCCCTAATATAAGGTTTTTAAAGATGTTGCTAGAAAAACAGATTTTTAACTGTGCTCGTGTTTTTATTACGGTTATTCCTATTTTTATTTGTCCTTGACTACAAAGTTCCAGGTATTTTAGGTGCCCTATCTCCTAATCATGCCGTTGCATAAAACTTCATTTCTTTTTCTTTCCTACTTCTGGATATAATTCTGTAGCTTGTGCGTGCTGAGCAAGTGCTTCATTGCTGAGCTGCGTCCCCAGCCTACTGTTTGGCTGAAGTCTCAGGCATATTTCTAGATAGCTCTTACATCTTAAATTAACCCTTTCCTATCAATCTGTGCATCACCATGAGGCTGTGGCCTACCGGTAAGCATCTTTCTCCTTTGGCAACTACATGGAATCTTGCTGACTCCACCTACTTTCTCTCTATTTCCCACCTGGCTTTACTCTGCTAAGCAATTGGCCAAAACAGCTTTCTTCATTATCCAATAAAACCAACGCGTATATAGAAGGACATCCCACATCAAGTGTCTCCTTTCACAGCATGTAGGTTTTCAAAAAGTTCTGTAGATGTCTTCTGAAGTTAAGGCTGAGAACAACAAATACAATATTTAAATATTAAAAGGGATAATGCCAATGGCTGGGGCAGACTGTGGGGCCACTGGCAGTGCCACCAAGATTTAGTCCTACTGCTTGAACTGGCTTTCTGGAGCCCATTCTCTTTGGAGGGATATCTTGTTCAGCCTGGATTTAGTAGGGAGGGCCTTAGACCTTCCCCAAAGCAATGTGCCTTACCCTCTCTGAGGAGTGGATGGGGGTTTAGAGGGGAAGGTAGAGGGAATGGGAGGAGGGGAGGGAGTGGGAACTGGGATTGGTATGTAAAATGAAAGATGATTGTTTTCTTCTTTAAAAAATAAAATAAAAAAGGAAAATGCCACCCTACATTTGTGTTACGTTTTTACAAATGTGATGAATTTACACAATATTGAGATTATATGCATCCACCTCTCCCACAATATTTACTGCTTTATATTTTAAGACTCACTCATTGGAGGGGGCACACTGGAGAGATGTCTCAGCAGTTAAGAGTACTTGCTGCTCTTCCAGAGGACCCACCTTCAGTTTCTAGCACCCACATCAACAGGGTGTGTAACTATAGCTCCAGGGAATCCAATGTCTCTGGCCCCTGGGGTACCTGAACATACTCACATACAGATACACATTCCTGCTCACCATTTAAAGTAATAAAAATAAATTTTAAAAAAACCAAAAGAATAAATTTTAAAAAAGACTCATTAATGATCTAGTGGTAAAGTTCTATCCCCCAAATATATCTTTCATCAGTAGGTGATGGAAATAACTTCAAACAGAACACATAAAGTGGAGTTTTGTGATGGATTACTTGATCCTTTTAAGAAAAACTCAAGGTGGAACCTGTCATCAAGATTTTAGTCTGCCATGCTCACCCTTGGTGAATTGGCCGAGCTGGTGCTGCAGTCAGGCCTACTCAGCATCTAGAAAAGGACTTGGAGACAAATGATTCCAACACGCATTAGCCCCAGTTTAGAAATCGCGGAGGAAAAGAAGCTATTTCCTCTTTACATCCTTATGCGAGCTAACTAGGGAAGAGTGTGGCTGGTCAGGCTTGACTATGTGCCTGGTTCCGGATCAGCTTCTAGAAGAAAGAAAGGCCAAGCAAATTTGGATGGTGCTTATAGGCAACCTTACCACACTGCTTGAGGGAGTTCTTGAGAGAAGTGGGATCTGTTACCATGGCAGGAGATGTTGAGCAGATACACATATCCACCACATCCCACCATGGAGATTGACATGCTATACCTGTGTTAAGGGCCATCTCAGGTGAGATGCACATACCCTGAGACCTTACCAAAGGATTCAGTTCTTAGCTGCAGGTCCAGAATTATCCCCTCCTACCTGATTCTGTGTGTCTCTCTACCTTCTCTGGAGTTATGCTTTAAGTGGAGAAGTTCTTATGCGATGTTGTTATGTGGAAGTCAAATTAGATCATTGGCAGAGTAGTAATAACCTGGAAACTTAGCTCCCTCCACAGCTGACGGAGTCGGAATGGCCCCCACTAATGAAAGGCACGTCCATGATGTATTAAAGAAAGATGCCCTGTCAGAAGCGAGGAGAGAGATGGATAGTGTGCCAATGCCCTGTGAGTTTACACTCTGCTTTGAGTGTGCCACACCTCACAGGACATTTACTCTTCATTGCCTGTGGTTTAGAGAGGGTGTATGAAAATAACTGACTCGATCGATTCAGGCCTCAGGGATGAGTTCCCGCTTAGTTAGTGGAAAACTTACCCTTCCAGTGGGCACCTTCAAGGACGAGAGTGTAAGCTTGGGAGACAGCTGAGCGGGCAGGAGCATGCCGAGCGTCATAGGTTCGGTTCTTAGTGCCAGAAAGTAATTAAATTGAGTGACATCACCTAATAGGAGGTGTCTCTAGATGGCTCGCATAAATGTTAGCTGATGGTAGAGAGGAAAGCCAGGAAACAGTCCACAGGGCCCTGTAATGATGTTTGTCCAAATACACAGATATTGGGTCAAGTATCCTGAACCAAGAAGAGCAGTATCAAGAGGCTGCGCTCAAGGAAAGCATTGAAAAAGCAGAAGCTAAAGTGTGGGAGCAGGTAAAGGACTCAGAAATTACCCTTAACCGCATTTCTACAGGCTCCTCACTCTGCATTTATCTAAAAACTGTAAATTCAGAATAACCGGCGAAGAGATAGCCCACCGAGTCCTTACATCTATGGGTTCTTGGGCGTGTCCTTTGCCCTCTCCATCTTGGCTTCCTCTGTGGGGTGGGGGTGGGGTAGTATGACTCCCATTTCAAAGGATTGTTGAGAGAGTTCAATGAAGGAATGTACTTGGCACGAGGTGATGCTTAGTAAGAAGCAGGTCCTGCCAAGGATTTCCTTCCAAGTTGCCTCCGTGCAGATGACTCCAGCCACTTATTCTTCTTTTTTTTTAATTTTTTTTATTGCGAAAAGAAGAAAAAAAACATAAACAAAAAAAACAAGTTTCCACCTCCTCCCAGCCTCCCATTTCCCTTCCCCTCCTCCCACCCTTCTCCCCCTCCTCTCACCCTTCTTCCCCTCCCCCCACTCCTCTCCCCCCCCCCCTCTCCAGTCCACGGAGCAGTCCGGGTTCCCTGCCCTGTGGTAAGTC